ACATAATTATTATTTAAATGAAACTGAAAGTATTTCTAACTCTCCAAAGTGGAACAAAAAAGTTATTCGGTTCAGAATTTATAATATAATATATGAGAATATGTAACATTTAAAGCAGAAGGAATACTTATCAGGCAGATGATACTGAGTAGTTTAAAGAACCCCTTTTTGCGGACTTCCTCTGTATTCGAACCACTGTGCCTTTGTTTCGGTGGCTCTGCTTCCACCAGCCGAGTAAATTCTGGATGCTGGCTGCGTACGCCTCCCCGGTTCTTGTTGCTCTCGCCGTTATTCCGGAGGTTGTAACCCCGGATAATGTACTTAATGCATCTACATATTAATGTCGCACCGCGGAAAAAGGAAGGTGAAGGCGAGTGCAGGCGGAAAAGCGGAACGGAAAAGCGGAGGGGAAAACACGGCGAACTGAAGTGCGGAGATGTGAAACCTGTGCAACCCCGACTCCTCCCTCGAGTTCGCTACTTTGTATGTAATTTCTATTACCACCCCCCGCCTTCCATCCTTTGGGCGTACGTGGAATCCCCCGTGTCCTTGTGTCCTTTTTTGAGACTATATTCGTGTGTCTGTGTGTGTGTTGGTGTGTGTGTGCAGCGTGTCGTTGTGCTTTTTGTTGTTGTTTTTATTGCACAGACTTGCGACGCAGCGTGTGATTGCCACTTTCCCTTGGCACTGTGAAAAAATAGACAGCTTTAAATATAAATTCAAGTGTTCATTGAAACTTAAAGGTAAACAAGTTCCAAGTGATTTTAACATTTCAATATTTTGGCAATAAAAGGAGCAAAAGTTGTATAATAAATTAAAATTAAAGTTTTGGATTTCCATTTTAAAATTCAGTTCTAGCGATTTTCGAAAAAAAAATATACACAATTAAAAAAACTATCAATTAAATAATTAATGCTTAGTATACTTTATCAAAATAAAATAGATTCGAGACATTGACTAAGCATTAAATAATTTAAATGACTTCAAGATAAATTGTAGGGGAATGTTGTCAGGGTTGGGCCATATTTTGACCTATGTCCATAAGATCTGAACGAATGACAGTTTAGAATAAGTTTATACATTTTTGGAAAGGTACAAGCGAGAGGAAGAGTTCACCAAAAATAGAGAATAAAAAAACAGAAACAAAAAAAGTTATAGGCGTTTGAAAAAAAAAAAAAAATGTAGTCAGCGTTGGGCCATGTAGTCAGGTTTGGGCCACCTTCAGAAAATCGTTGACAATATCGTAACGTGGTGGAATAAAATTGAATTCAGGTTAATCTGACATTATTTTGTTCATTTATTTAATTATTTGGGATTTTACAGTAAATAAAAAATTATTCAGAGTTGTTTTTTCGTTTGTAGCGAGAAACACTAAGGAAAAAGATAAAAATGATTCATCTTCTTTCAATCCATCAAAATATTTTTTTGAGGAAATCTATTTAATTTATTTTGCATATTTTTGCTACCAAAAACTTAAATATTACAACAAAAATCGAAAATACACGAATAAAATGTAAAAATTATGATGGCCCAAGCCTAACTACAAGAGTGGCCCAACCCTGACGACATGCGGTATTAGTCTATTATGGTATGATATAGCCAAACTATATCTAACAATGAAACTATATCTTAGTATTTTGTAATATAACAACTATATAACGTATTTTTATGTTCACTTTGCGGATGACATGTTGTAATCTTGTGTTATTCCACCTTTTCGGCCAGGTTAAAAAAACTTTTTCGAGCACTTTTTTTTCACAGAACAACGGCACGTAGAAAAATGAAATCCCGAAATAAGTTGTCACATGGAAAGTTTCGAGTGACCGATAGAAGTTTCTAGATACCCACTAACAGATGGTACTAGAACGAATATTCAAAATATTGAGATGGCCCAAGCCTGACAACGGCCCAACCCTGACAACATTCCCCTATATTATCTTTATGGAATGGTATATTTTTGTGTGCATCTTGCATTAAATTTTATATATTTGTTAGAAAATTATTATTTTAGTTTCACCCCTTAAATTGTATGTAATTTTTTTTTAGTGTTCCCTCCCCCTTTTTTCCACTGTAGCCGCCTCACCTGAGCACCACCGCTGCACTTGTTTCGTCGCCGTGTGCGTGACGTAGGAAAAAAAAGGGAAGAGGGTAAAGAGGGTGGTTGTGGGCTGTGGGTGGTTCGATGGGCGGACGGGTAAGGGCGAATGGGTGGGTCGCCCCGGCCATATTGATATGTCTCCCAGTAGAGCAGGCGGGAAAACAGCCGGTAGAAGAACCGTTAAGCTGGGACCGCAATGTGTAAAAAATTACGAGCAACATTGAAGTTGGGAATAAAAAAAAACGAAGACAAAAAATTCAAGAGGGAGTGAAAAGGGGAAGTGGGCGGGAAACATTGGCAGGTGGTCGCCGGAGGCGGGAAAACTCCGACTTTGTTGGTTTTCCACGGCTCCTTCATTATTTCCCCGCTCACGCATGATGAGCCGGCAACAATATGTTGCCATTAACCCTGAAAATTATTGCAGTGTATGCGTGCGTGTTGGTTGTTCTTGCCGAGAAAAGTTTACGACTCGTCTGTCAGGAAAGCGGTACACTCAAAGTGGATTAGAAATTGGGGGAAACGTACCTGTTCTAGTGCAATGAAAAGTTAAAAATGCGTCCCTGACAATCAAAAAAGAAATGCGTTTAAAAATTTAAAAAAAAAAAGGTAAGGGCGGAATTGCAATCTTAACTATAGCTTTAATTTATGGAAAGCAAATTAAGTTAATGGAATCTTAAACACATTTACTCATAAAGTTTTGGGTTTATCTTTACTAGATTTAAATAAAGAAATCATTGTTTTAAAAATGAAAAATCTCTTATTTTTAAATTATTTTATAATTTTATTTTGAAACGGTTTTTAAAGATCACATAATGTTTATTTATTATAAGTTTTATCTCATATCCACACTTATATTAATTCCTGTTACTTTAATATATTGTACAATTCCTTTAAATGATTTTCCTAGAAATTTATATTAAATGCCAGGATTTATGGCAATGGGAACATATTTTTAGCACTCCCCAAAACGTTGTTAACCTTGCTGAGATGGCACTTCGACCAGTGTAGAATGTCCTGGGAATTCCCATGAAATTCGCCTTGTTCTTTCATGCTCCCCCTTTCCCCTCTCCACCCCCTTTGATTCCCCTCCTTTCAGGACGCTCCTGATCGAAAAGGCAGGAGCAAAAGGTAAAAAGTAAAAGTAAGTAAGGCCACGAATCGCATCCCCCTCCCCTTTTTTTTACTTTATTTTTTTTTGGCCGCTGGCAGCGCGTCTGGCGGATATAAAAATAAAATAAAATCTATTACGTGGCGAACCACCCCACATTTATGCGGCAATTTGTTGTTTCTTGATTGTGTCTGTGTGCGACGGGGTGTGCTCGTTGTGTGCTACGTGTACTGGTGTGTGTGTGTGTATAAAATAAGTAAAGTGTATCATTTTCCCATTTGTCGACCCCTTTTTGGGCTTCCCTGGTCCACAGGCACTTCTCGCACTTTGTCTCAATTCCCAAAACTGTCGCCCCGGCAGTTGCAATTTATGAAGATTTGTGTGTGGCCAGGACGAAAACGAAGGGGAGGTCCTGCTTCCTCCGGTTTCGAGGATTCCGTATTCAGGATTCAGGATTCAGAATTCAAGAGTCAGCCCCGCCCACTCGCTTAACGCCCCCTGTCTTCGGAGACTGCACTTGTTTTGATTTGTTTGGAATAATAACAGATGCTTACCGTTCATATTATTCATTGTTCAAATTATTAACGCTTGACAATAAAAATTGGTATTTGAACAGCACTCGAAATGCTGCATGCACCCCTTAAAACTTGTTGTTGTTTTCGTTTTCGTTATTGTTGTTGTTGTTGTCGATATATAGGTATAGTATATTGGCCTGGGTAAATTGCAATTTGTGCAAATATTTATGTACATTGAAAATTACTCATTTGTGTAACACCAATTAATTTCAACAAACAGCGGCAGGCCGAGCAACACAATGGCCGAAACCATTTATAAAACTTTGCCAACGTTGTTGTCCTTTGCCTTCGTTGCTGGTTAAACAAATGGAGGGAAAATGAGGTCCTTTGTTTCCCCAAAATAAACGATGCTGTTGCTTTTGCTGTTGCTGTTGCTGTTGCTGTTTGGTGTTTGTTTTGCGGTGCCAAGGCAGGACACACAGGACCAAAGGACACTGTACAGTGGAGCCGGCCTTCCCCTGCAATTGCAGCCTGTCCGTAAAACAGTTCAATCAGCTCAAAGTTGCTGCGGGGAAATATATACATACATATATTTTTTGCTCGGGGGGTCAGGGGAAAAATAATGTGAAATGGAAGCCAGGTTGTTGCCTCATTATTGGGACACTGCATTCCGGCCACAAACTCCATTCTTCAACACTGTTTACACTGCAATTTTTCAAGTTGCGCTAACAAATTGCAGCTAATTACTTGCCGCACTAAAAGGGGACCACGAAACGGAGTTCCTGCGAAATGAGCTCACATATAACAGCAGTTTGAACAGCAGGCAGCAGGGTGAACTGCGGAGAACCCCACCGCAAATGGCACTCGGCAACTTCAAGTTTTCCACTCAATCAGAGATAATAAGAACAAATGGATAAGGGCTAGACGAGGGTCGCTGAATTTTGCAAGGGAGGACGACCTTAAATTACACCTTTTCAGAGCTCGAAATTTAAGAGCAACAAACATATTCTTCGATATTTTGATAGTACACTTTCTTGTTAATTGCAAAATTAAATATAATAATCTAAAACACACAAGGTTGCAACGTGACACGCTTTAAATAAGTTTAAGTGTTGAAAAGCGATTAATGATTAATGCCTTACAATATTGTTAGGTAAATCTTCATTTTCAAACCAATAATTTAAAATAATATTTATAATATTTTCTAAAGAAAATGTTCTATCTCAGATATTATCACATAGTTTGTGAGGAATCTGTCTTAGCTTTTTCATTCGTTTGGTCAAAAAAATACAAATAGAGGGGCCGATTCCCGAGTCAAAATTTGTTTCAAAATTTTCGACAGCATTGCAAAAAGAGACGAAAGAGTCCAAAAGTTCGGTCCAGTAAAGAGTGCAGTGCAAGCCGTCCGTATCCTTATAGTGATCCTTTAAAAATCCGGTTTAAGCGCATTAATCATTTATCACCGAGAAATTAGACAGTGAAGCTCGAAGGTTTCTTCTAAAGCCACTGCGAGTTATCCAGGACTTATGAGCTCAATAAATTTGAAAGTAAGAAGAAAAGCAGTAAGTCATCGCAGGTATCAAAAGCTACAAAAAACCCAGGCACCAATAAAAACAAACTATCGACTATTCATCGATGAAGTTTTCTGTGGAAGCAGAGGCCTAAGAAATAAATGTCAATAGTAAAATCAGTCTGACGTTAACGAAGGCACGCAGCATTAACAGCTCCCAAAAACAAAAAATAATAAAAAATAGAAAAACTATAAAAACTATAAAAAGAGAGAAGGGAATTAATAAGCCAAGAACTGAAGAGGTTAGCACTTGTAATAAAGAAAACCTTGCAGCATAAACATATACATTTAAGTAAGTAAAAATTTATTAACACTATTGAACAGTACACTAAATTGAATAAAAATAAAACACAGATTGGAAGAGAAAGTACCAAAAAATTCAACTAGTTCGCAGGACTAGCAAGCGTTTTAGGGGGAAACCAAGAAGATCAGCTTGCAAGGAATTTTCGCAGGCTACTCCCAGCTGCAAACCGAATTTCGCTTGGCCAAGAATCAGGGTGAAGTCCCTGAAAAATCAGCACCAACGGCTTCCCAGGCGTTAGTACGCTCCGGCCCGGACAACGTTGCCGCGGCTCGTAAAACCGAGGCGATGGCGGAGGTCCTCAATCTGGATAGCATCATAGCCCGACTGCTCGAGGTCCGCGGTGCCCGTCCCGGCAAGAATGTCCAGTTGTCCGAGGGTGAGATCAGAGGCCTCTGCCTGAAGTCCCGCGAGATCCTGATGGCCCAGCCCATTCTGCTCGAACTGGAGGCTCCTCTCAAGATCTGCGGCGACATCCACGGCCAGTACTACGATCTATTGCGCCTCTTCGAATACGGTGGCTATCCCCCGGAATCGAATTACCTTTTCCTCGGAGATTACGTGGACAGAGGCAAACAATCGCTGGAAACCATCTGCCTACTGTTGGCTTACAAGATCAAGTATTCGGAGAACTTCTTCTTGCTGCGCGGCAATCACGAGTGTGCCAGTATCAATCGCATTTACGGATTCTACGACGAGTGCAAGCGTCGCTATACCATTAAGCTGTGGAAGACCTTCACGGATTGCTTCAACTGTCTGCCCGTGGTGGCGATTGTCGACGAGAAGATCTTCTGCTGTCACGGCGGACTGAGTCCGGACTTGACTTCGATGGAGCAGATACGCCGGATAATGCGACCCACCGATGTCCCGGATCAGGGACTGCTGTGCGATCTCCTTTGGTCCGATCCGGATAAGGATACCATCGGTTGGGGCGAGAACGATCGCGGGGTGAGCTTCACCTTTGGCGCCGAGGTGGTGGGAAAGTTCCTGCAGAAGCACGATCTGGATCTGATTTGCCGGGCCCATCAGGTTGTGGAGGATGGCTACGAGTTCTTTGCCAAGCGCCAGTTGGTCACCCTCTTCTCGGCGCCCAATTATTGTGGGGAGTTCGACAATGCCGGTGCCATGATGTCCGTGGACGATACGCTGATGTGCTCCTTCCAGATCCTGAAACCCGTCGAAAAGCGCAAGAAGTAAACAAGTTTGAGAGGTCTTATCTGCCATATCAACACGACATCTCCACCAATCTATCTTCTCCACTATATCTTATCCACTGTTACACTTGCCTACATAACAACTGAACCACAATTAAAACACCACTGTAATAGAACCACTGTAACAGCACCACTATATCGACACCACTTCATCCACATCATCCGACATCGAGCGGAATCGAAATCATTATTGCTGGACTTGTCGTCAACTGGATCGAACAAATGCCCCGACTTTAAACACGACTATGGAATTCGTTGTAACAGTTAACTTAATCCACGCTTTGCTTGTTTATAAAGATTCTCTCGAGTTTAGATGGTTGTTCTACTTTTTTTTTTTTTAGGTTATAATTGGGAGCTTGTGGTGATTAAACCACAATTATGTGGAAAACTCCTTTAAAAAGAAAATATTTTATTTATCTTTTTTTGCTTCAAGAATAGGTTTACCAAATGGAAAATTAAAAACAAACGAGGAAGCCAGGATTTGTATTATGATTAAGTTTTTGTATTAAAATTAGTTATATTTTGTTTATTTAATGGATTAATCAATGAAAAGCAAAACACAAAATAAAAACCATTTAGGCAATGAAAGCAAAAATGACAAAGTGGATAAAAAAAAGGATACAGTACATTTAAAGTCAGCTAAGCGTGTACATAATTTACAAAATATGTTAGTAGTTCTACGCAAATGCTCCAGCTTTACTTATTACAGAAAAGCAGAGCCACATTTAACTGCTAATTTCGCATTCAAAAGACTTTGCCACAAATCCGCTTACTGTCGCTTATTTTAAGACCCTCTCTAATGACAAAACGCAGAAAAGTGTGCTACGAATTCTGAAGGAGTGAAAAGTGGGCGATCCCCCCACGAAAAACTCGATTCTATCTGTTTTCCCGTTTCGTGCTTGGTGACAAAAGTCACCGTCATAATATATTAACAATGCTTAAAAATTAATGAACAATAACAAAGCGCACACACATGCACACCAAAAGCGAGATGGCAATACAAGAAGGAGAAAAGAGAGAGAGGGAGAGAGCGAACGAGTCCTGGCAGACAGACAACAAACAAAAACAAAGACAAAGATACAACAAATTGCGCCAAAAACGCTTTATTATGTCAAAATAAGATGGAAAAAAATAGAGAAAAGGAACTGAGTGTGACAACAACAAATTACATTATATATATAATGAGGTCATTTGCGCGTAAACAATCAGTGGGAATCCAGAAAAGAAAATGGGCAAGGAAACGCCGGGAAAACTGTGTGAGAGTTGAAAAAAACCAGCCACATGTTTATCAACAAACGACAAGTAAATAAATTATGCTGCAGGATTTGTTAATAAGCCATGAAGTTGGCGCGAAAAGTCAAAAGGAAAAAATAAAGTCTGAAACAATGTAATACTCTTTAGAAATTTTGAGATATGTTACTTACGAAAAAGAGAAACACAAATAATAAAAAACTGATATATTGTATGTATTTTAAGGTACATATACTGAAAACTACATGATTTTAAATATAACTATATTTCTACTTTTAAACTCCTTGAATTCATTTTACAAAAATCAAATCTTTAAAAACAATATTTTCTATAAAGTCTCTTTAATAATTCCCTTGCTTCTTTGCAAAATCAGGACTTCTCATTAGAGTCTTTCTTACTTAAAATGGCGTCTTCACACACACACACACACACATACATACACACACACACTCATAAATCGCTGCGTATGTCAGTTTATTCGTTGCCGTCGCTGCCACAGAGCACATACTCTATATATACATTTATATAGCTATATAGTATATATACATGTTGCAGTAGAAATCAATGCCGACAACATTTGGCAATTTGGCAGCAGTGCAATTGTTTCTCCTTTTTCCCGTTAGCTACTCCTATTTATTTGTATCCTTTTGTTGCAAACTGTCTTCTATTGTTGCATTTGATTTGTCCTCTGGCAAAATGAAGGGGTTGAGATATATTGCATGCCACACCCACACCCCGAACCCCGAACCCCCACCCCCAAACCCCACTCCACTCCACCCCTTTCCACTCGCAAAGCTCTCTCTGCCATTTCTCTCCGCTCCTGATGTTTCAGATCTGGATACATTGTTTTCCATACACTGCAAAACATTACGTTGCCACTTGGTCCAATTTGTTTTAAAATTATATTTACTTACATTCTCTTTGATAATTATAGTATAGTGTTGAAATAATGTTTTTAGTTTCGCATATCATTGAACATATTGAGAATTTCAATGATTTTTTTAAATATCTTTGAATAGTTTTACAGATTATATTTTGAAGATATTTGTTTATAATTTTTGAGCTTCCATCTTTTATATAATTATAGATTATTTGTTGATATGTTGATTTAACTTTAATATACCTTTTAAATGTGGCTAATTCTAACAAATTACTTATAACCTTTGTGATTATTTCCAAATTTATTATTTATGTACTTTATTAGAGACTTGATATTTCTTTAAAAGGATTCTTTAATAACTCCTTGGCTATAATTCTCTATTTTTCCTATGATATATCTCCAGTTATTACAGTTTTTTTTTAAATAGTTACATTGACCCAATCTTAAAGAATATATTTGTTTGGTAATTAAGATTCGTGTTCTTCCAAGTTATCCTTCTGTTAAAGCTTCGCATCCTTTGGCCCCCCTTGAATAATTTTATTAATTACAAATTATGCGCCTAATGAAATGGCCAGCAGAGGGACTTTTTCCGAAAGGGGGGTGACATCGAGTGGGTGGCTCTGCTGCGGGTGGATGAATCCCCGTATCCCCGTATGTTCCTTGTATTCGATGCTGACGTTGACGTTAACGGTAACGTTAACGCTGGCAGCGACATCGGCACTGCCCACATGAATTTTGCATAAGCCCCAGCCAACCACAATGCAGCACATCCCGCCGCCCGTTTCCCGGATCTACGACTGCAAAAACGACTACGGCTACGGGTTTTTGGCCACGGTTACAACTACGGCTCTGTGGGTTCAAGTCTCCACTCCACTCTCTTCCCCACTCTCTCTCTCTCTCACTCACTCACTCTCTCTCTCTTTGTTTCTCTCCCTCGCTCCAATCCAGATTTTTGGGTCCGTTTTTGTGTTTTCCTCTGTTTGTATGCGTGTGCATGTGTATGTGTGTTTGTAGTACGCGCAGGGTGGTTCGATGCTCACTGCGTCGAAAGGGATGGCAACACTGGGTGCGACGGAGAGAGAGGACAAGCAGGCTCCATTGCATCGCCGAAGTGCGAGAGAGAAGGGCAGCTGGCGAAAGAGAGAGCGAGCGCCAAGGGTGCAAACCAATAACCGTCAGACTAATTTTGGGATTGGTTTATAATTGAAGAGTTTGCCATTGTATTCGGCAGGCAAAAGTTTTTGGGTCGGGGGTTGTCTGCATCTACATAGTTTTTACCATCCATACACACACACACACAAACACCCAAAATACATATATGTCTTATTGTTCTCCATAGGCCTCTCCTTATCATTTTAGAGTTTTACATAATTGGGCAGGGGGCTCCCGGATTCGGATTCGGGTCTGGGTTTTCCGGGGGTCTCGGGGTCCGATTTTCCGTAACTGTGTCCATTTTCCGGTGGGGGCGTGGTATGTTTGCCGATTGTACATAGGAGAGCAGAACTAAGCGCTAGTTTTACCCGCCCGACTGCGCCACATTCACAAAAAGATAAATAAATATGAGTGACCCCCCCGTTGGGAGCCACCCCCAAAAAAAGCCGATCCCCTACCCTTCCCACTCAAATGAAAATGGGAACTGGAAAAGCTGCTAAAACATTGCAGGGTGGGGATAAAATAAAGGGAGGGGAGGAGACTTAGAAAGTGGAAGAGGAAGAGGCCAGGAAGAGGCCATCCGGGCTATTTGGCGTTCTGTTGTAGCATACTTTTCAGCTGTAATCAGTTTAAATGCTTAACAAAGCAACACAAAAGCAAAGAGCTAAGGGGCGGGGTTTTTGAGGGGGGAAGGGGATGGGGGAAACGAAGGACGAAGGACACAAGAAGCTCTGCAGCTCCAGCTTTTTAGTTGCTATTCATATTTGTATAAATAATTGAAGAACTCTATAAATATTTGATGCCTAGACAAAAGAGTTGCGAGCGCCCTCGTCTCCGATTCCAAAACCGTATCCGTATCCGTTCCATTTCGTTCCATTTCGTTTTGTTTCGTTTCGCTTCCAGTCATTTTTGTCTGTCTGCCTGTGTGTTTGTGTGGTCGCGTGAGTGTGCGAGTGTGTGTGTGTGGGACTGATTTCCCGTTCAATTAAAGCTGGCAAAGGGGATCCTTTGGAGTCCCTACCCCCGTTTGTTGGAAAACAAGTAACAAGTGCAGGACGAAAGGCAAAAGGGTTGTCAGTCCTTTTTCAGGATGGATGGGGAACGAGCGAGGACTTTAATTAGAGGTAGCTTTAAATACATTTCTTATGCCGTGAGTGGAAAACTTTACAAATTATCTGCTTAGGGGGTTTGGAAAGCAGAGTGGGTGTGGGTTGTATTCAGAATTATCATGATTAGCCCGATAATGATGGTGTTTAAGATAATTCCATTTAAGTAGGCACACACACAAAAGATTATTAGGTGGAGTTATTCTTCATTTATCAAGGAGATTCAAAGCAATAGTTTAGTAAAGTTTTCTTGCTGTTGAGTAAACATAATAGTACCCTCTTTAGTTGAATAACTTTTTATCTTGAATAGCAATATTCATTAATGAAAAATAAACTGTTTATAATAATATAAAATATTTTAGTTAACAAACTTGTATCTTTTTTTGTTCTATTAAATCAACTTTATAAATACACTGAAAACTACTTTTTACTGGGGTGATTGAACTATATTACAACTACCTGCTAATCGTTAATAAAGCAAATTTCCATTCCAATGCTATTTAGGAAAATCCTTTCTCTCGACAGATGCACCACTCGATGGACCAGCTGGACATGCTGGACCCGACGGGCTCGATGACCACGTTGGCGCCCATTTCGGAGTCGCCGCTGACGCCCACACACCAACACCTGCACGGTTCCTATCACAGCATGAATCACATGATGAGCCACCACCATCCGGGCACGTTAAGTGGCCACACGGGGGGTAAGTGCTCATCACCTTATAACCCATAGTCGCTTATTTCTATCTTTACCTGTTCATCTCTCTCATGGATCTGCAGGACACCATGGACACTCAGCGGTACATCATCCTGTTATCACGGCGGCGGTGGCTGCCGCTGGCCTGCATCCCGACACAGACACCGATCCCCGCGAGCTGGAGGCCTTCGCGGAGCGGTTCAAGCAGCGGCGCATCAAGCTGGGTAAGCTGCAAAGAAAATAAATAAATGTATAAAATATTTAGATAAAATAAATATAATACAAACATAAAATAAATTTATACTGAATCTGAATAAATATCTAATTAAATATCTGATCTCATTAATGTGTTGAGTTTAATTTAAGTACATATTATACATAATTTAAAATAGATCTTATATCACCCATTTTTCTGTTCTTTCATGCGTATTCATATTTTGTACATGTTTTTAAATATACATAAATGTTTTAAATGATGATCCTATACAACATAGTTGTTTGTAATAATTGATTATTACTTAAAAAAATTGTTGTTATTAATTTGTGGATTGGCTGTGTAAAATTTTAATTGAAATGATATATACATATATAGCTTCAGGGATAAGCTTAATTGGATGATATTATGTCCTGTTACACAAGTAATTTCTGTTATTCAGTTTAATTGATATGTTTTTCGTTGTTTTCTTTTTTTGTACAATGTGACAGCCTGGAATATAGTTGTTTATAAATTCTTTATAAGTACTATACAATATGTTTATATATGTTTTTGTTGGGCAACTTTCAGGTGTCACGCAGGCGGACGTGGGCAAGGCCCTGGCCAATCTAAAGTTACCTGGCGTCGGCGCGCTGTCGCAGAGCACGATCTGCAGGTTCGAGAGCCTGACGCTGTCGCACAACAACATGATCGCCCTGAAGCCCATCCTGCAGGCGTGGCTCGAGGAGGCCGAGGCGCAGGCGAAAAACAAGCGGCGCGACCCGGATGCGCCCAGTGTCCTGCCGGCGGGCGAAAAGAAAAGGTAGAAAGTGTTTTAATTGCCCCGGTAGCCAATCCCCCTTCCCCTCCTTATCCCTCCCCACCGAAATCCAACTGAAATCCCACTGAATCTCTCTTTATCCACTCCGAAATCCCTCCCAGTTCGTCCCTTAAGTGTCCACCACCTGTCCCAATCCCGCTGAGAAATGGCTGAACCACCATCCCATAGACCCAGAGCACCCTCCTCCAGCATCCGAGCGCGAAGTAATTGGCCAGACACCAAAAACACCATCACTCTGGGATCCCACTGACAGATAGACCATAATCGAATTTGTGCATATTAATTAGGTATTCGCACCTGCGAATTATCTCCGATTTTTTGTTTTTTATTTACGAATTTTTGTAGAGCAGAACGTATTTATTTTGATCTTACGATTAAACGAAGGATTTTCTTTTATGATAACTTTTAATCAGCAAGCTCTTTTTAATATAATTTGTTACTCCTATGTCTAGAAGGTCCATTTATTCAAGAACATAGTTCATTCATTTATCATTTAGTGGCGCCATCTAACGATCATTTACTTTTGTAGTCCTCTTTAATAGAAGACTAAAAGCTCAAAAACAAAACGCCACCTATTTTTCATTTATTTTAATTTGTTTCAGGATATTACAAGTCTTTTAAAATAGATAACAATTTAATTCACAAATAGATTTGAATAACTTTAATTATCTTGAAAAATTGCTATTATTCTTCACTTAAGTTACTAAATTACTACCTAGTTTATTGATTATGCACTATCATCAGCCAAAACTCCCAGAAAGCACATATAAAAACTATGAAATCAAATCGAAAAACCAGGAATCCATTCGCATCGATCGAGCATATATTCTTTGAGCACAACCAATTGTCAAAGCCATTACCGAAATACCGAATTACCGAATTACCGAAATGTCCCACAGCTTTAGGGCCCCGCTTCTAAAGTAATCTATATCGAGTCTTTTTTCAAGAAAAAGGACTTCCATTGCGGCACCTGAAAAGCGTTCCCTGGAAGCCTACTTCGCCGTACAGCCGAGGCCATCCGGTGAGAAAATCGCTGCCATTGCCGAAAAGCTGGATTTGAAGAAAAACGTGGTGCGCGTCTGGTTCTGCAATCAACGTCAAAAACAAAAACGTATGAAATTTGCCGCTCAACAACACTGACAATCAAATAATACAGCCACACAATTAGGTATAGTTAGTAGTGTAACACCCTCAATGACTGGCCACGGTTCGGCGGGATTTGGATACTGATAGTCGTTTATGACGGCAGCGGCGGCGGTTAACACGGCAGCGGCGGCGGCGGCAGCAGCGGAGCGGCAGCGGCAACATTGGGCTCCTCGTCGGCGGCATCAGCGGCATCGGCGGCATCGGCGGCAACGTCGGCGTGTCTGGGCGACTATTACCTTTAGTGATTCTGATTCTGGTTCTGATCCTGATCCCGATCACCACCCCCAAAAAAAAAACAAAACAAACACCATACTATTTCTGTTTGCAATATATCCAATTGCGATGCAGATGAAGCGGCAGCAGCACAACCAATCAACCAACAACAACATCAGCAACAACAACAGCAAGAACAACAACCACAAGGACAACAACAACAAGAACAACTCAACTTTCTCTATATATCTTTCACTCAGTAATCAACCAAGCAGCGGCGTAAAAAATCGGCCAGAAATAATACTACTACTACTAATAATAGCAGCATACCACACACAACTATAACATTTATACCCCTTCTCCAGAATGTATATCCCCACGATTTCAGAGGACAACACCCCCAAGGAAAAACAAAAAAAAAAAAGGAAAACGGAATACGGAAAAATAAGAAACAACAAAGTAAACAGCATTACCTAACATCGATTTGCAAACAAAAAAAACACAAATGAGAATGCAAAATGAATACCAAGAAATACAAGAATTTTTTTTAGGAACGAATAATGAAACAATGGACCAACATATCAAATGCAATAATTTATTGAATTGTATAAGAGAAAAAGGTAAGCTAAGCCACTGGAAAAGTTTACACTTAAGAAAATCATTTTATTCGTATATCAATTTAAAATACATTTCAAATATGTATAACAACATTATCTAATGCAGTGATAAGGTCAAAAATATTTAATTAAATGTTGTTTATTTAATATTATGTTATTTATTTTAAAACCATAAATATTGAAAGCAATTATTTTCCTCTCTGTTCATCACCTAAATTTAGCGTATTTAAGCGAAAATAAATTGAGCTAACTAAGCCATTTATTTGTTTCCATTTTATTTATTTGCAGAACAAAAACGAGCAAAAAAAGCGGAGAACAAATTGAAATGATAAATCAATTGAACACGGGCCTTCCCCCTCCAAAAACGAGAAACCCCAATCTGCTACTGCCCAACAACAACAACAACAACAAGGATACACATCAAGGATACACAGGATAACACTCACACACAGGCAGACATTTACACACAACTACAACAACAACAACACACACACACAGACAGACAGACACAAAAAGACCAAAAGAATGCCAAGAAATTGCTTCAAGTGATCCGATAATAAGAATCTAAGCTTATAAATCTAAGGAAAAGGCAAAATGAATGTGGACGAGCTGGAAAAAGCAAAAAAAAAAGAAACAAAACAAAAACACATGGACAGCGGCAACAGCAACAGCAGCAACGGAAATTGCAGCCACAGCAGCAACATGAGTTGCAAGTTGCTAGTTGCCGGTTGCCAATTGCAATTGCAACAGCAGGAAACCACTACACAGACAACCCCGCACACATGCCCCAAAAAACAAAAACACGAGCGATATGCATTAGCCACTGTATATATAGACTATATACATATAGGGAACTTTGATTCGATTGTAAATACCGCAGCAATATAACAACAACACCCACACACACACACACTCACACATCAACTGTAGCCAAAGGAAACCAGAAACAAGAAGATTTTCAGCTAGCTTACAGTAGAAAGAAAGCCCAGCCAAAGCAACTAAGCCCCAATCCTTAATCCTTAATCCTTAATCCCTTATCCTTAATCCCCAATCCTTAATCCTTTGCCCCGAAAAGAATGATAACCCTGCCAATTTCTCCCTGAGAACCACACTAACCCCAAAAAACCAGCTAAGCAAAGGCATAATTTAATTTTTTTGTCTAATTATAAGTAAACTAATGCAAAAAGGATATCGAAAACAACAAAAATCGGCGGAGAAATCCGACTCCCAAAAAAAATGTTAGCAGCAACTGGAGATATTGCAACGAATTTAAAATGTTGCCAAACTAAACTAAACTAATGCAGAAGGAGAAACCAAAAAAAAATCATATATAAATAAAAACAAACAACTCTATGACAACTATGAATTACATATAAATATATAGTATATATATAAAGAATTTTAAAAAAATTATATACTATACATAACATTTTTTTTTGTTTTTTTTTAATTGTATAATTTAGCACATTTCATAGTTTTAACTAGAATTGTACATATAAAAGAAGAAATATAAAGGTATTGGATAATGATATATATATATGAATATATTTATATATATATAGCGTGCGTGTGAGTGATTTTGAATGAGTAGAAATAAAATAAAAAAGAGAAACCCAAAAATCCAAAGTCAAGACAAGCGCGAAATTCAATAATAATTTTAAACAAAAGCTAAAAATAAAAATAACTCATAGTTTTGTATCAAATGAAATGAACAAGAAACAAACAAACATTTTGCCGACAAATTAGAGCATAAAATAAAATGTAAACCAAGTAAAAACATAAAATTTTTTTCATAAAAACCAAAAACCAAAAAAAAGCGCATAATAATGTTTATAAAAAATTATAATACATACCATTGATAACGGACATGCCCAAGCTCATAACTACATTTAAATTTAATTTTAGTAGTTTCTAGACACAAGAAATACTGTAGCATGAAAATCAATTGATTGCAGCGCTCGAGTGCTGGCGGAGATATATAAGTAAATAATAAAAATGCAGCAAGAAGCAACAAAAAATAAGAAAACTACCCAAGAGTTCTTATTGGGCGAGATAATGGTCATAAATCACTAAATTCCCGAAGAGGTTTGTTCTTATCAATACCTTTTATATTTATTCAATACCAAAAACAGATTATTGTGCGGAGCGACAATGGTCTACATTTAAATGGTTAAAAGTTAGGGTTTGAACTTTTAATAGTTTGCCATTAATTTCCAGAAATAATTCAAGTTTAAATTATAGATTCGACTCTTAGGCGTAATCTAAAATTGCTTATTACGATTAATTTTAATTGTGCAAGTAGTTCATCAATGCTTTTCTATCTGCCAAAATTCAAATCCGTGATAAACTCACGTTTCACATTAAGTAAAATCTGCACTCCGGATTAAAAACACACAACATATGTCCAATAAATTTATTGGGATTAATTCCGTTTGGGCAACTTAACGCAGTTACTGACCACAAACGATACTTAATATGTAATCTGATCGCATTCCAAGGAATAGTACCCTATTTTGTTTATTTAGACCACCTTGTAGCGTCCCTTGTTGAAGACGTGGTGGGCGGAGCTGAGCTTCAGCAGCTCCTCCTTGATGAGCCGCGTGATCTCGCGCTTGGCCTTCTGCACGGCCAGCTCGCTGCAGCTCTCGATGGCCAAGTAGAGCTTCCGTTCGCCATCCGGCGGATTCTTGCCCTGCGGCACGTACGTTCCGCGCACGGTGAGTCCCGCCTCCGAGTACTCGGAGATCTGGGCGAGGGCCTCCTTGGAGGTCACCTTCCAGCGCGCCTGCTGCGGGAAATCGTTGATCTCCAGCTCCTCCTCGTACTTGGTAAACGAGTTGCTATTGCCGCCCGTCAGCGGACCCAGTCCCTCCTCGTCCTCCTTGGGTTGGTAATTGAGCTTATTGTTCAGCTTGGCGGCCATCTGCTCGGCCACCGTTCGCGCGGTCAGCAGTGGAGCGGCGGCGCCAGTGACATGTGGTCCCTTCAGCATCGGTTCTACGGCCACCACACTGCTGCCCTTGGTGTCCAGATTCTTGCTGCTGTTGATCTTCGAGGCCAGCCGCTTGGCCAGCTCCAGTTTGTCCGAGCTGAGGGCTCCGCCAATGCCTGCATTCTGACCACCAGCCGCCGCCGCCGAAGCTCGTTCCGCTGCAATCGCCAAATTGGCAGCAGCAGCTGCGGCCGCCGCTTGAGCTGCCGCCGAGGCCAGGGCGGGATTACCGGAAACAGCAGCAGCTGCAGCAGCAGCCGCCGCAGCAGCAGCCGCAGCCGCAGTGGCCGCAGCCGAGGCCGAAGTGTCCTTAACCGTTCGCTTGGCCGCGAAGATCTGTTCGATCTGCTGGTCAATGTCCTGCTCGATGTCCTCTTCATCGTCGGAGTCAGCGAGTCCCAAGGCGGCCTTCTGCAGCTTCTTGCTCTCCTTCACCGCATTGAATTCCTGCTCGTCGAACTTAAAGCCCTTGCCGCTGAAGCCGCCGCCAGTGTGCACCGTTTTGCCCTCGGCCTCCTGGGCGGTCTTGTACTCCGTCCACAGGGTCTGCAGCTCGGCGGGAATCAGGGTGCCGGATAGGTCCAGGGCGCGGATAATATCGCCGGCGTAGCGCGACTGTTCGGGTGTGATGAAGGTAAAGGCGCTGCCCTTTTTGCCCGCTCTGCCAGTGCGACCGCATCTATAAACAAAAACATGAATTTGTTAATAAAAGAAGCCTTTCCAGAGATATATTCTTTCGCCCACCTGTGCACATAGTCCTCGTAGTGGTTGGGCACATCATAGTTGACCACCAGGATGAGATCCTTAACGTCCAGGCCACGTGCCGCCACCGAGGTGGCAATCAGCAGCCGCACCTTGCCCGACTTGAAGTCGATGATCGTGGAGTCGCGATCGAACTGATCGATGCCGCCATGGAGACTCATGCAGGGATAGGAGGCCTTCATGAGGTCGCGCAGCAGTATATCGGCGTTCTCCTGCTTGTCCACGAACACAATGATGCTACCGGCCTCCTGGTAGATGCCCAACAGCTCCAGCAACTTGAAGAACTTCGCATCGTCGTTGAGGATGACCACATTCTGTTCGACATCCTTGCAAACCACCGAACGTCCGCCGACGATCACCTCGATCGGCTTCTTGAGGATGCGTCGCGCCAGCGCTTCCATTTGGCGGGGAAACGTGGCGCTGAACATGACCGTCTGGCGATCGGGACGCACGTTGTCGATGATGCGCATCACCTGCGGCTCGAAGCCCATGTCGAACATGCGATCGGCCTCGTCCAGAACGACATAGGTGACGCGTCGCAGGTTCGTCACTCGACCGGAATTCGCGGCCAGCATATCGATCATGCGGCCCGGTGTGCAAACAATTATCTCGGCGCCGCGCTTCAGTTCGGCAATCTGCTCGGAGATGCCGGTGCCGCCGTAAACACAAACCGGCCGCAGACCGAGCGACTTGCTGAACTTGCGGATGTCCTTGCCGATCTGCATGCAGAGTTCGCGCGTTGGCGCCATTATGATCGCGATTGCGCCGTCGCCGTCCTCCAGGCTCGGCTGGTCCAGAATGTGCCTAAACATTGGTAAAATGAATGCCAACGTCTTGCCACTGCCAGTTTTAGCAATACCTATCAGATCCCGTCCGGACATGATGGCCGGTATGGCCTGGCACTGGATGGGCGTGGGCTTCTCGAAGCCCAGCCGTCGCAGCACGTCCATCTCTTTCTTGCTAACGCCGCACTGCGCCCAGGTCTGCGGGAGATTAATGGGAATTAGTTGAAATTCGAGTGGAAACGGTTACTCAAATGGATTATTCTTTGCTGCATTAAATACCCCAAACCAAAAAGCAATTAAATAGCAAATGAAAATCGAGTTGAATCAAATAGAATGAAATATGAAATGGAAAACAATATTTATATGGATTAAAGAAAGATATTCAAATGGATTTAAACATTTGCAATCCCCTGAATCAAACGAAATGAAATAGCAAATGATAATCGGTATTCAATTAAACGAAAGCTAATCCCTCGTCATTCCATTCAGCAACACTCACCTTAATGGGCTTCGGACAGCCCTTGCCCTTCACCTGAACGCCCTCCAACTCGGATCGATACTTCTCCACATCGCCGGCGGTCATGCGACTCAATTCCGGCACCTCAACGTAGAAATTCTTGCGGAAGGGCGCGTACGTGACCGAGGAATGATCGATCTTGGCCAGCTCCTTGCGATGCTTCATCGCCAGATTGACAGCCGTGTCGCGTATGTCCTCCAGCTCATCCTCGCTGGAATACTCCAGACTGTCCATGTTCTGTTCAATCAGTTCGCCCTTCTTGAGGGTCGTCGTCTTTTTCTTGGCCACGCCCGTTAGGATAACTACGCCCTGCGCTTTGGCTGGCGGATTCACGAAGTTGTTGACGCGCCGCATCTCATTGTTGACCTCCTGCATGTAGGCATCCAGTGGATCGATGTCGTCTTCTGGCTCCACCTCGGCTGGGGGTTTCTCCGCGCCTGGGGGTTCGGGTTCGCTCTCCACCTTCGGCTGCTCCGGCTCCTTGGGTTCCTCCTCCTTTTTGGCGACGGGCTCCTCGACGATCTCCATCTTGACGGGTGCTGGTTCGGGTTCCTTTTTGATCTCCTTCTTAGCTTCCACGACCGGTGGCTCCTTCTTGATCTCCTTGATCTCAGCCTCGGTTTTGGGAGCCAATCCCAAGCCCAATTTGGCGCCAAACGACTTGCTGAAGGTGGGACGTTTTAGGGGCGAGAACTTCGACTCGACCAAGTCATCGTCGAAGCGTTTGCGTATGCTGTGGAATTTCGAGGGCGGCGAGTCCGGTTCGGTGTCCTTTTTCCCGGTGTCCAGTGTCGGAGCGGGATTGCTGTCGTCCTCCTCGGACTCATCTTCCAGACTCCACTTCTTTGTGGATTTCACCACCGCCGGTGCCACAACAGCAGCCTTGGTGTCCCGCTTGCGTTCTGCTCGCCAGCGCTCGATGCGCTCACGCCGCTTGATCATCTCCTGCTCCAGGCGGCGCTGCTGCTCCTCCTTGTCGATCTCCTCCACCTCCTCTTCGGAGGAGCTGGTCGAGGGCACCGGAATGACCAGCGGTGCGGCCGCGGCGGCGGTGGCCCTTCTGCCATCCGATTCCCGCTCCCGCTGGCGATCCCGCTCGCGATCCTTGTCCCGTTCCCGCTCCTTTTCCTTCTCGCGCTCACGATCCTTTTCCCGCTGACGATCACGTTCCCGCTCGCGTTCACGCTCCTTGTCGAGGCGTCTGTAATGAGGGGAACTGAAGTAAGGCAAGAACAGTCAGTTTAAATAATAAATCAACAAATTAAATCGAACACAAGGCTTAAGTTTGGGGTGACACATTTGAAAAACTGAATCTAAACTGAAAAGTTGTGACTCAACTAATTTTGAAGCAGTTTATTTTTAGTAATTAAACAAGATCAAAATCCAATTTATCGTGTCACTTGGAAGGTGACCGTATATCCAACTCACTTGTCTTTTTCGTAGTCCTTCGACCGGGAACGCTTCCGCCGCTTGTCGTCCCGTCTGCCGCGATCACTGGCCATGTCCTTGCCGCGTTTCCTGTCGTCCCGGCCACCCCGGGAGCCACCGCCCGATCCTCCTCCGTTTCTGGACTTGCCCATCTCGTAGTCGCGACTGCGACTATCATGCCGGTTATCCCGCTCGCGATCTCTGTCCCGATCTCGGTCGCGGTCCCTCTCCCGCTCCCGCTCCCTGTCACGGTCGCGCCTTTGAAATAGTAAATCCATTAGCTATGAGTGCTTATTGATAGAAATCCTTGCAACATACCCGGAACTCTTCGACATGGCGCTTTCTCAGGTATCTGGGCGCCGGTTTGCCGGTGCCGCTCTACCAACTAGCGGGCGGTGCTGAATTTATGCAGTTCGCACTGCCTCTCGTCCACCGAGCACTTCACAATGCAATGTGAACTTGTTTTTATTGAGTTATTAACGAATTCTCATCAGGAATCCGGCAAAATATAATTTTTAATCGTTTGTCGCGCACAGAGTGACCATGGCTTATCTGCTAGGGATGGTACATAAGCGATGGCAGGCCGGCAATACCGATTAATCGCACTTCCACAAAGTGGCAACGATAATGGGTGTACAACACCGCTAGATATGGTGTGTGTCTCGGCTAATTTAATAAGGTGGAAACTGTGGTATAGTGAGTTCGGAATTTGGCGTTGCCACTCCGCTGCCACACGTGTTGAGCGGATAAACAAATTGTTAAATTCGAGCGAGCTAACAATTCCAAACCCAGACCGAAAATAATCATGCCGCCCGATATCGAGATTATAGTGGGCACATACGAGGAGTACCTGCTGGGCTACCAGTTGATTGAATCAACTGCGGAAGGCAGCTCGTCGAAACTCCAACTAAAACAGACATTTGCCGACAGATCGCATGCAGGATCCATCAAATCGGTGGCTGTGCAAGGACCCTGGGTTGCCAGTGGTGGCACCGACGACAGGATCTTCGTGTACGACATGCGCACGAGGAAACAATCACAGATTATACTATCCCACGCGGGCACGATTAACACCCTGCAATTCTCGCCCGATTTGACGCACTTGCTCTCCGGCGGCGCCGATGGCCACATGATCGCTACCCGCGTAGGAAGCTGGAGCACCGAGGGCGATTGGAAGAAGGCTCATGCCGGCCGACCAGTCACGCACATTAGCTGCCATCCCAGCAGCAAGCTGGCGTTGTCTTTGGGCGGCGACCAGGTGCTGAACACCTGGAATCTGGTCAAGGGACGCATGGCCTACAAGACCAATCTGAAGGGCAAAACGACGCTGGGCAGCCAGCCGGACTGCCTGTCCTGGTCCACCCAGGGTGAGTACTTCACCCTCAGCGGACCACTCTTCCTCGAGATCTGGGACATCAAGAGCGCCCATGTGATGCGTCGCACCAAGATGCCAGCGAAGCCCATCTGCGTCACCTGGCTGAGTGGAAGCGAGTGCCTCGTCGGTCTGGAGAACGGCAGCGTTGCCTGGATATCGGCCAACGATGAGGAGGATACTCCAGTGAGTTTGCCATTTATTTTCCTGTTGGACTCCTTTGTATTTATATGGTTTATTTATAGCCAACTTTCATTTCTGCACACGAAGCAAGGGTCAAGTCAATTGCCTTTCTGAAGGAAACACTGGCCACCGTATCCAGGTAAGTTGCTTTTGGTGTGCCATTAATATAAAACCTAATCTATATTTTGCATTCTAGCGCTGGCGAAATTAAAGTCTGGACGCCCAACATTGAGAAACGCACGCTAAAGGAGATTGCAAGCACCAACATGGACTGTCGACCCACCGGACTGGGTTTGCTGGATCTCAGCCAGTTCGGCAATGCCCGTCCGGTGGAGCAGCTTATCAAGGTGGAGAAAAAACCAAAGGCCAAGGGGGAATCCGGACAATCTGCCATCCCTCCAGCACCACGAGGATTCGTGACCATTGAATACGAGCAGGATGAGAAGCAGGAGGTCGAGGAGGAGTCAGTAGCCACTCCCAAGCCCAAGCAAAAGAAAAACAAAGAGAAGGGGAAGGCAAAGAAGGCGGCCCCGAAACCTGAGGAATCCTCCGAAGAGAGCAACTCGGAGGAGGAGGACAGCGAGGACATCTTCGACAGCGACAGTGACGAGTCCAGTGATGGAGGCCACCGAAGGAAAAGGCCGCAAAAGCGTAAACAGCCACCCGCTTCCGCCTCCAAGCAAAAATTCAAACAGCAGAAAAAGAAATAATTCTGTATGCTATAATCTAGACTATGTTACGACTGTCAATAAACTTGAGTTTAATATAGAAATATATTTAAAAGTTTTAAATTTTAAATTTTAGCATGATGGAAATTCTTTCAACAAGGAAATATATAAACCCTTACATAAAATATCAAATTAGAAGCCTATACTTCCACTATGCATAGTATTTATCAATTACAATTTGAAAGGCAACCAAATACATCCCAATATTTGAATTGAAACACCTGATATTTAGCAAAAGTTTAACCAGACAGGCAGGCTCGAAAAACACTCGAAGTCTTTATTAGATCATTAGTTGATAACATTAACAATTTTTATTTGTATAAATTTGAGGGAGCCGGGACCAGCAGATGCCGATTGGCTGCCAGCTCCCGAATTAACAATAGTTTCATGTTTTCCATGTTCGTTTGTGTATTATTATTTGGGGGCCAAAGTGGGGATGCAGGATGCGGGTGGCGGGCTGTGGGTAGTGGTGGCTCAGTGAGCCAGGAAGTAGTGCAGCAGGTTAAGGTAAATGCGTTCCAGGAGCGGCCAGAGGTGCTCGGCCAGGAACTGGATGAGGTGTCTGAGCGGCGGGCACAGCGTGCAAATGTAATCCGTGAGGGCGTCCAGCACGCGAATGGCCAAGGGTCAGTTGTTTCGCTCCAGCCGAAAGCAGATGCCACTGCTCCCAGGGATGTCGTCCTCGTCCTCATCATCCCTGCCATTGGCTCCCATCGGATAGCAGCCATCCTCGCGCTTCGGACAACTGTGAGTCCAGGGCATCGGCTCCTGGAACTTGGCCAGGTGCAGCGGATTGAGATAGGCATACAGGCGGGGATGGTCCACGTAGGCGGAGCAACTGTAACACCACACGGACAGGTCGCCGATGCTCATCACCAGCGGATGCTGCCCCGCCAGGGAGTGCTGCTCCATGTGCCCGTTCATGTAGCGACCGCAGGCCACCGTCCGGCAGCTCAGACACACCCAGTTCTCGCCCGTCGATCCGCACTCGCTGCACGCCGCCTCGCTGTTTATTGCTGTCCGAGATAAATATACAGAATGTGGATTAGAAAAGTGAGTATCTCAAAGTAGGTGAACCACACAGAAAGCGTTTGCATCAGATGTAGTTTCTGAACTAAAACGAAGCATCAACTAAAAACCAATCAATTGGAACACAATCCTAAGCAAATATAAAGCAATTATTACACAAAAGTATATAAAATTATATTGAACAATCAAAGCAAAAGTGGCAGCTTTACTAGAGTTGAATATATAATATAGGAAACATGCGATAAGAAAAACGATCCATTCGCAAAGCAAAAAAGGAGAAACCACATAAAAATAAAAACCAAGCACAATAAACTGCATGCCAAATGCAAATAGCATTGCAAAATAGCATTGTAACATCAATAAACAATTTAGAAAACATAACCAATTTCCATATTCTGGCACCAAAAACAAGTAAAGCCAAGTAATAGTCTCTTAAAAGGGCAAAATAATAGCGCTTCTTGTTGTCATTTAGGCAAACTATCTTTAAAAGGTCTTCAAAGGCCTATTAGTCATTCGATTAACGCTTAAAATGTATTAAATTATGTTTAAAAAATCCAAAACAAATTATGCAAACAGAATACAACAAATGATTCAAGCCATTTATAAATAAAAGTTATGCAATGGTAATTGTTAAAAACATTTCCTTAATACATCAGCATTTAGTTTTGAGGAGCGCTATTATTTTGTCCCTGAAAAACCATTTAATTTGAAGGGCGCTAGTGTCTGGACCCTTCAAATTGGCCGGGGGGAACTGGCTGGGCTTACATTGCGGCGCCTCCTCCGGTCGCAGGAGACCCAGGTGCGGGCACGTCTTGAGCGGATACACGGCGAACATCTCATTCTGCTCGAGGGCCTGATCCGCCAATACGGATTCGGATCGGATCGTAATCGGAATGGGGATCAAACGAGATTGACCCCAAGGAGGCGGATGACATGAAACGGGGTGAAACAGAGAGAGAGAGAGGGAGAGAGAAGAACGCGCGCGGTAAACGAGAGATTAGTGGTGTTTGTGGACGGCGATTGGTGGGTTAGCGCAAGGCCAATGCTCGTACCTCCTGGTTCTCCGCCAAGTACTCGGTGAGCGTTTTTACCTTGACTTTGGGCTTGCTGCCGCCGGGCCGCTCCTCGCCGCAATCTGGCCGATCGCCGGCGGATCCGCCCGCCGCCTCCGGAGCGCCGTCACTTGAGATATTCAACTGTCGCAAGGAGGCGGTAAGAAAATCCTCGTTGTTGTTCTCGCCCACGACGGGATCGCGCGGCAGTCGCCGGCCCACGAACTCCAGGCATCGCCAGTGGTTGCGCTGCACCTGCAGGCACGACTGCAGCGACTCCACGCAGCTCTGGTAGGCCACCGTGGCCGGCTTCTGCAGCGCAGTGGCGCCCAGTTGGGGCGTCGGCACCGGATCGCCCAGCAGCGTCTTCGTGCACATGGTCATCGCATACGAAATGGAGTTCACGTTGTAGCCGCCCTCGAGGCAAACGATGATCCTGCCGCCGGCCAAGGCGGACAGCCAGTGGGTCAGCATGCCGTAGCCCTCGGGCGTCACCTTGCAGCCGCCCAGGGGATCTCCGATGGCCGCATCGAATCCGGCCGAGACGAGCACCAGTTGCGGATTGAACTCGTAGGCGATGGGCATGATCAGCTGCTGGAAGGCCAACGCGTACTCCAGATCGCCCATGCCCTTCTGCAAAGTGCATTTCACATTATAGTAAAAACGGAAAGGGAACGAGAACCTTTGCAAGGGTTAACCCACCTTGTTCCACGGAATATTCACATTGAATCCCCGGCCGGCTCCCTTGCCCACCACATCGAAGTTGCCGTCGGGTCCCTTGGGAAAGAAGGCGCCGTGCTCGTAGCGGTGCAGGCTGATGTACAGCACCTTCGGATTGGACTCGAAGATGTGCTGCGTGCCGTTGCCGTGATGGACGTCCCAGTCCACGATCAGCACCCGCTCCAGTCCAAAGTCCCGGATGGCGTACTGCGCGGCAATGGCCACGTTGTTGAAGATGCAGAAGCCGTGCGGCTGGTCCTGCTCGGCATGATGGCCCGGCGGCCGGACGTTGCACACGCCGCTGCGGGACTCGCCGCGCAGCACGCTGTCCACCGCCTGCAGCACGGATCCGGCGGCCAGGGTGGCGCAGTCGAAGGTGCGCGGGTGCAGGTACACCGAGTTGTAGCCCGCGGCCACCTGGTGCAGATCCTCCGGATCCCGGCCCAGCAGCCGCCGCACCGAGTTCACGTGGGAGCGCGTGTGCGCCAGACACACCTCGTCCGTGGTGGCCGCCCGGGCCGGGAGCTGCTTCATCCGCGCCAGCAGCGCGTACTCGTCGTGCATCTTGTGGATGTGCTGGATGCGCGACGGCTGCTCCGGATGCCCGGTGTCGTGCAGGTTGCTGTGGAGCAGCATCTGCGCATCGTAGGCGTAGCAGACGCGAATCGCCGGCATCGACAGCTTGGTCTCCGTGCGCAGCACTTGCAGACGCGCCGCATTGCTGACCAGCTTCTCGGGCGGCAGGGGGATGGCCGTGTCCCTCGTCGGATACCGATCCACTGGCGGCGGTCCGCCAATCCAGAGGCGCAGCACCTTGTGCAGATCCTGCGCCTTCTCCTCGCCCTGCAGCTCCGCCGAATCGTAGGTCTTCTGCAGCTGAAGGCAGCGCCAGTGCGGCCGATGGACGGCAATGCAGCTGAGCAGCGCCTGGGCGAGTTCGGCACGCGGCAGAGCCAGTGGCTCCACCAGCGGCGGACACGGGTCGCCGAGCAGGGAGCGCAGGGTCAGCGCGGCACCCTCGGCCAGGGACTCCAGGCAGTAGCCGCCCTCCAGGACGACGGCCACTCGGGAGTCGGCCAGACGCAGCAGCGGATTCAGCAGATGCGGGTAGCAGGCCGGGGTGACCTCCATCTCCCCCTCCGGACAGCCCAGCGCTGCATCGTAGCCCGCCGACACGATGATCAGCTCCGGCTGGAACTCCAGGGCCACCGGGAGCAGCAGCTGCTGGAAGATGGCCAGGTAGTCGCCGTTCGTCATCCCCGTCGCGTTCAGCGGCACGTTGAAGTTGTAGCCCGTTCCCGGGCCGGAGCCAATCGCATGGTAGTCCGACTCGTGCAGGTGCGGCCAGAAGCTGCCGTGCTCGAAGCGGTGGATGGAGAAGTAGACCACCCTGGAGGCAAAAGTTCGAGGAATCAATTACAAAGTGTTCGGGGAGATTCTTTCAAAAGGTAACAAAGTTCAAACAAAGCAAGAATCTTATTCGAAAACCTCTTTATCCTTTGATATAAAATGTATAAATACAATAAACTTTTTAGAATCTATTTAACATTTTACTGCTACTAACTCCAATCAATTATTATCTTTCCTCCGGTTATGTAAAATTTCACAACAAATTTAATCACCCCTATGAATTTTCTAATATTACCTCCTATCAAATGTAAATAACAAATGCAAATGTAACAAAATTTCTTTTAAATCTATTAACTGACTCAACAGATACCAACTCTAAATTAGTATTAACTTTCTCACGGATATGTAACAAATATTAATGTAACAAAGTTGTTATCAATTGTCGAGTCGATGGCCACAGTAGCTAGTTACTCCTTTCCCTAAATTAGTTAGTATATTGTAAATGCGTTTTATGTGTAATAGCTAATAAATAATAATAATAATAATATTTAACTTTGTTTTATAAACGGTTTTAAATGTGTTTTACAAACCAACAGTCAAGGCTTTTGATCCCAACTGAATATAGTTATTTAAAAAGGTAGCTTTATGATCTGAGTTGGGTTTTATATTAAACATATTGGCATATTAACACATTCTGATTTGATAATAATCAAATAAATCAACTAAGAAACTTTCCCAGTAATATATATTATGTAAAGAAATCAATAAAATGCTTACAAATATCTATACAATTTTGTCCCCAAACTAAACTAGTTACCTCCTCTATGGAAAGCAAACATTTAGTAATTGAAGGAACACTCTCAGCTCACCTCGGATCGTTGTAGAAGAACCGCTGGGTGCCCTGGCCATGGTGGACGTCGTAGTCGATGACCAGGATGCGCTGCAGCTTGTGGACATCCAGGGCGTGCTGGGCGGCCAGGGCCACGTTGTTGAAGAAGCAGTACCCGTTGAACTCGGCCTTCATGGCGTGGTGGCCCGGTGGCCGGATGATGGCCATGCCGTTCTGCGCCTTCCCGGCGACCAGATGGTCCACCAACTCGATGGTGGAGCCGGTGGCCAGCAGGGAGAGCTCGAAGGTGGACTGCGGAGGAGGGGGAATCCGGGAGGGGTTATCAGTGGTCTGCTTAATCTACTCAATCTAGTTTTACCAGCCACGAATCTTATCTAATTCTGAATAATATACGTTTGCAAGTATGCGAAATTGCTTCTATAATTTACAGTGCGTTTCGAGAAATGAGATTTCTAAAGATTAATTTGCAAGGGAGATAAAGTTGTTAAGGGGATCTTAACAAAACATTAATTAAATTTATAATATTTTCAAGAGAAAAACAATTAATTTACAATAAGCTTACAATAAGGTGAAATTAAAATCACTAACCAATTAATCAGAAGTTGTGAATCTTAAAAATGGGAGCACTTTTTTGAATAACAATTTATAATTTAATTTATTATTTATTATCTCGAAACAATAATGAATAAATAAATATTAATAAATTCGATTTGAATTTTAAAGCAGCTACCAGAGTTTATAATTTCAAAATGGGACAAGCTTCCCAACCATTAATTTTAAAATTTGAGTTGCCAATTTGAATATTATGCCGCACTGTACCTGCTGGACCCACGATTGTGCATTGGGCCGCATCTAATCTAATCTGCCTCAATTTGCATTTATCAGGGCGGTAAACACAAAACAGCGCACAATCTTCGCAAGCAATCAAGCGCAAATACAATGGAATCTGCCTGATGAGTGCATGTGTTTGGGTGCACTTTTCCAGGGACTTGGAGTCCCAGCAGGGATCTTGGTTGGCCAATGGCCACCCACTCACCGGATGAATGTAGACTGAATCGTAGCGGGAGCTCAGCTCCTCCATGCGCTCGTCGTCGCGAACTCCGGAGGTCTGCTTCAGCCGGTCGAAGTGCTCCTCGGAGTGCAGGCGCAGGATCTCCTCCTTGGTCGCCGATCTCGAGGGCAGTTCCAGGCAGCGCTCCGCCAGATTCAGCTCGCGGCAGCTGGAGAAGATCGAAGCACACAATTACTAAGTATGATTGATTTCACTCTTAAATTATATTAACGATTTGGCTTCTCAACTTTTTTGGGTATTGATAACAGGTTTTTCGAAAGGTTATTGGCCGAAATTGCACAAACTTGAATTCATTTTAAATGTTCACAAATTACTATAATTACGACTATAAAATCGACACTAAACTGAAGATAAAGTGACGTAAATAATAAGTACTTGCTTAATAGCAGACAATAAAGGCGGCTGTTTACATTTGTTTGTCGAACATAAAAAAATAAAGAGTGTGACTAGCCAACGTTTGATTTGTGTCCATAACAACTACAATTTGAGAATGAGGATACCAGCCAAGTGGAGCACTTATTTCCACTGTCAAGGGAGTTCGACTCACCGCTCCAGGACGCGCGTGAAGCGTTCGGGGCACTCGTAGTGTTCCTTGTCCCACAGACAGCAGTGTTGGCTCATGGATTCGTCGTAGATGAGGGCCGTGGGCTTGCGCACCAGACCCTTGCAATTGACAGCCTTTTCGAGTGGATAATATAGAAGATTAGTAAGGATAATAAGGAATGGCATTAATGGGATGGATCCACTTACATTCTGGAATATATCCGTGACGGATTCCTGCATGGCGTTCGTTTGATTTTTGAGCATGTTCCGCGCTCGACGTTTCGCCTCTAAGAGCGCTGCGCTCGGTTTGTTCGCTTTTCGCTGATCGCTGGCATTAAGACCGCCGCCGCCGCTGCTGCTGCTGCTGATACCGCCGCTGCCGCTGCCGCCGCCGGCAGAGCCGCTGCCGCCGATCACTCCCGCTCCGGTTGCCGCCGTGCCCGTCGCCTTGCATTTATTGGCCATTGCCCGCGTCTGCATCTTCGCCTGCTGCGCACTCCGTCGCGTGACGATGGGCGGGCTCTGCGGCAAAAAAGAGAACAAAATCAAGATCAGAATGCAAATCGGGCTCCAGCTCAGTGGGGATAGGCAACCCTCAGTATCTTGAGTCCAATTCAAAGGCACGGCTGGATGGTCAGATGAGCAGCCTGTCTTCGATGTTCCCGCGGCAGAATCCAGATGATGGCAACTCAAGTGAGACAGGTGCACAGTTGGACGGTGGTCAGTGTTTGGAAACAATTTAATCAACCATATATACTATATAAAAGCCGAGGACTATGTACAAATATACCAAAAAGAAACCTTTTAAATGCAAACACAAATACAAAATAAACCATAAAGTCAAGGCACTTCTCAATCGAAGATTACGACAACTGACATACTTTTTGAGTTCCTGATTACAGACCAACTTGTCTGCCTAATCACACAGTACAGCTTTAACCAGCTAAGACTGACTGGGAGCTACAAACATTTTATTTAAAAAAAAAGTTAGGAAAATACATAACATTAAATTAAATAAATCTTTATCACACTATTTATCACTCTTCGAGCTTTTTGTCTTTGGTTTCCAAATAGGGAAGTGGTTATGCAAAAAATAATAATGGAATTCAAATGTTTTAAGTTGCAAAAGTACATATGTGTACTTATTTCTTAGGTCATTTATGAGATCATTTAATGGAGGTAGTACTGTATTTTCCTAATAAAACAACCGCAAGAATAACATAAATTGTTGTCGTTTTATTTTGATCAAATAGTGGTTTCGTTCAGACTTCAGTTAGACATTATTTAAGGACCTTGAAAACGGGTTTTGTTTTGCGGGTTTTCGCTTTAGGTGATTCACTGTGCTTCCAGTGGGAAGCCGCCAACTGTTGGCCACGACGTTTCGACGGGAACTGCGGCCGCCAGCCGCGGAACTCCAAGCCTGGTTAACGAAACCGGGTGTGTGTGGGTGTTGTTTGTTGCCACTGCCACTTTAGGCCAAAACAACTCGCAAAAAGGCGGCATAATCCGCCAGTACTCACCATGTTGTGGGAAAACGTGAATTGGCGACTTTGGATATGGAGAGGTCCGAAATGGAATACGAGTCCGAATCCAAAGCCAAATATCCGGAGCTGGAAGTGGAAGCGGACGAGGAGGAGCAGCCGAGAACGGAAACAGGGAACACGGGACGGACTGATTCACAGCTGCGAGGGCGTCCCCTTGTTTTTGCTGCCTTTGCTTCTCTTCTTGTTTGCTGGTTTTTTTTGTATATAATTTGTATTCCGAATTCTTTGGCTCCTTTCCCGCTCCTGGACTACCGTTATTTATCGATTCCAAGTAACACACTTTTCTCTTATAATTAGCCGTTTTATTTTGTGTGTGCTATAAATTATGCCTAGTTTATTTCTATCTCGCTTTCACAATCCCTACCCTATCTATGTGTTTGTGTGTGTTTGCGCTTCAGTTGCTCCGCTTTTGTTGTTGCTTCTGGTTTCTCGCTTCTGATTATTTGTTTGTCGCCTTGCAGTACAAATCTAAAACACTGAGCAACAAAACCAAGCTTTAGTTGGTGTTCTTTCTTTTAGTTTTGAAACGTTGCAATTGCATTCGTGATTTTGAGCAGACGAAGATGCAGCAACAGAAACAGATACAGAGGCACGGCACAAACATACACAATCAGAACGTGAACCAAAAATCCCGCACACACTTAGCACACACACTTTATCACGTTGGGTGGGGGGCTGGTGGAGCACTGTGGGGGGCGGAGGAGCACCGAGAGAGAGAGAAAGAGCGAGCTGGGAATCGATGACGCGCGGGAGGAGCGGAATGCAATGTTTGTGTGCCTTCTTCTTCTTGCCGCTTACAAGCGATCAGCTGTCCCTCCGATAGTCACAACTTGTTGAATAATCGGTGGCACACGATAGTTGCATCGATAGTTGATTATTGTTTAAAAAGCTCGTTTTTATGAATGAAAGCATATGTAGATCTTTAATACTTTAATAATATTATTATTCAATAAGCATTTAGTGATCGCTTCACTAATGTTTTGTAGACAACTGATAGATGTAGAAGATATGCAATTAAAATCAAAGAGGGTGTTCTTGAAATATAAATAAAGTGCACCATCTAGTGGAAGCATATGCTTTTCTTGACTATCTTCTTCGCCCAATGTGGAATTTTAAGTTATCATAATATCATAAAAGTCATAGAATTAATATTTTTTAATGCATTGCACACCAGACCAAGGAGCAGACATTGAAAAATTTTCTTTCCACAAGGTTCCCATTTGACAGATATTGATTCTAAAAGTAACAAAACAAATACAACGAGCACATCAAATTAAAAACTATATGTAAACAGAGACATTTTTTTGCAGCAAAAACTATGTCGGAATAGGAATTTTAAATGTGTATGTATATCACAAAAAATCAAAGCAATTCAATTTTTATAATAGAGTATTGCACACCAGACCAAGGAGCAGTAATTTAGAAATTTTATTTCCAAAATGTTCCCATTTATCTGATATCGTTCCTAAAAGTAACAAAACAACAAATACATCTAATTTAAAAGTAAATGTTACTACATACATTTTTTCAGCAAAAACTATTAAATTTCAATAACCAAATTCTCGTAACATGTTTTATAATAATGGCAGCAGAATCATTTCCTTTCCTTATTTCTGTAAAATACACAAATTTGAGTATCTTACAACTTTCTTCGGAAATCTCTTACATTAAATATCCATCAAAAATCATTATATTTAATATTAATAAAGTGAATATCCTTAATCAACTAAGAATGATTCACCTGATCTGTCGATAGCCCCAGCTTCCTATGTATCGGACAGATGCCATCTCTTTGTGGGCGCCAAGTTGATTTTCGATTTTCCTTCCTTCGAATTAACCTTGTTTACCTTGTGGATTTCACCCATGCTGCCGTTTGTCCAGGATAATGTGCCGGAGATGCTGCTGCAGCCATCGCGGGTCGCCTTCTGCGCCAATTATCACCAGGGACATCCACGGGATCGACACAAGACCACCACCTTACTGCTGGCAAGAAACCTCAAGTTCTACGAGTACCGGCGAAAAGATCTGTTGCATTACATCGATTTGCGGGGTTCGCGACTCCAGAAGTTTGCCAGCGAACTGGAAGCCTACGACGGACCCGTTAGCCCATTCCTGACCATAAAGGAGCCCACTGACGGAAAGCTGGATTGCAGCATGCTCCAACTGCCGAATGAACTGCCCATAAGTTTCGGAAAGTTTGTGTGGCTGCATGGCGAGATCTACATTCTGATTCATTGCTGGAAACTTCTTTTGGTCCTGAGCAGACCCAAGGAACACGGTGCCAACTTTGAACTGGTGGCGGAGCACGAGGATGTGGTCTCATATCAGATGGTCGATGGCCCGATTCCCTATCAAGCCGTCGTGGAACTGGAGTTCAGCGATGGCAAGCAACTGCAGTGCGATTTTCAGGAGGGCAGCACGTTGACGGAGCCCAGCACTTCCGAGGAGGACTTAATATCTGACGAGAACTTCGAGGAACTGGTGCAGCAGGTGAACAGCGCTCATGCAGAGCTTTCTACGCAGCGAATACAGACCCAGAAAGCCTTTCTCCAAAGCCAGGAACTGGACCTCTACGGACCGCCTGGTCAGCGCTCTCTGCTGCTTGAGGAGAAGCAACCGTTGCGACGATTCGGCGATGTATGGACACGGATCTGCAACGAATATTTCGTCTGTGGAGCCCTGCTGATGAACATAAACGGCACCCATAGGCTCAGCATCGTTGAGAACCTGTGCCCGCTGGTTAATTTAAAGCCGCATAGCAACTTTCACCTTGAGTTCCGCCTGTACGAGTTGCCCCTGCAGTCGGATGGCCAACCTCCCGAGGACTACGAACAGATGGTGCAGTTTTGGGCCTGCCAGGATCAGCACAGCAGGCGGTTGAAATGGCGACCAGTGGCCAAGGCAAATTCACTGCCACCCGAGTGCTCCGCAGTACTGGTGATTCGTCTGCGCCTTGTCGATCTCCTCCAGGCGGATGAACTTCAGCTGCTGGTGATGTACGATATTAAGGGCCCAACCGAGAAGGACACCTCAATCAGGCAGTTGCACCTAGTTAACTTCGATATTAAAAAAGCTCTGGATCAGACAGACTCGCTGGCTCCCACTTTCTCACCAGCCACTTTGCACCAGGACTTTCTAGCCGTGATTATGACGTCGGAAGCTCGTCGCTCGTTGAAACTAGAGTTTCAATCGGTTGGTGATTGCACGGAGTTCGAGGAGCAGCTGGTCTCCAAACTGCAGTTTCAGTTGATACAAGACCAGGAGGAAAAAAAGAATCAAGGTAAATATATATATAAATAGATAAATAAATAATTAACATCTGTATAAATATACAAAACATGTTATATTTTCTAGATACCGATATGCTAGACGACTTTTGCGCCGGCGCTACCTTTCAGTCCTCCACCGCGACTGATGAACCTGTGCAGCGCATCTTCTATAACCGCCAGCAGCTTTCGCAGTGGTGTGGCATCCTGCTCCTCCGCGATGATCCTGGCCAGCATTGGCATGTGTACGCTCAAACGGAGGCGCGAATCGAACTGTTTTTGCATCGCCTTACGCGCGATCTCCTTCAGCTGAACTGCAACCTCAAGGTTCTGGAAGTCAATGAGTTCAATGACTCGCCTCTCGACTTGGCCAGGGAATTGGAGGCGAGTCTGTACGAAGAGGCAAAAGCCTGGGAGGAGCTGGCGAAGCCGGGTGCCAGCCTAGAGGAGCGCCGGAAGCGACTGCGTCACCTCAACAAAGTGCAAATGAACAGTGACGTGCTGGCATCTAAGATACCAAGCGAAGAACCTGAGGAAGAAGACTCCTTTTCTGAATAAAATATGTTTGAGAATTTGTTTCTTTATAAGAAGTATTATAAAAATAATGTTTTATTTTTAAAAAGGTCACTGTGTTTTAAGCACCTAGGACCCTACAGAATTCGATTTTAAATAAATAAAAGGATGAGTTTATAATGAAACTTTTATTATATTGCATTCTGCTCAGAATTTGACATAAAAACTTAAAAGCATTTATGCGAAGTTTAAAACATTTTATCAATACCATCGGAAAGTCAATAGAATATAATTCTTAATGATATGTAATTGTATTAATATTGGCGTGATTTATGATATCATTTTGTCAAAACATTTACAACATAAAGCAAAGTGGACTTGGTCTGGCTGGAATTGATAAGGAAGAGATGTGGCATCCCGATCCTCACGTGCTGATGCGCCTCTGCTGCTCTTCGGTCTTGATGATGCTGTCAAGGACATTCTCCAGATTTTGCGTGGCCGCCGACAGTTCGGCATTGTCGCTGTACGAGTCTTCGACGATCTCCTTTACCTTATGCAGCAGCAGCTTGAAGTTAACCATTTCGGTGTCACGTCCATCACCGCCACTTGTAGGCTGCTTCTCCAGAAGGGCGCCCAATGGCATTGGCAAAGAAACTGGCAGGGATCCAGGTCCTGGCTGCACACTCGACCGTCGCTGATCGAACCACAAACTAATGTCGTTGAGGGAGTAATCCGATTTGTTGGCCTCCAAGTAGCTGCGATTCAAGTCTGCGCCATTAACTAGAACATATTTATAATTAAACCAATGCTATTTGCTGCCTTTTTCTTAAAGATTCCTACTGGAGTGCGTGAGGTTGGCTCCCACCGGTGCATACATATCGAAGATCTGCCTTTGAGGAGTGCTGGAGCTAAGGAAGGTGGAGCTGACTAAAGGAGCGGTTATAGTAGCAACTGGAGGTGCTGGCGCTGGTGGTGAGGCTCCCACAGAAGAGTGCTAAAAGTTGCAAACTTATTATGTACGGAGTGGCAATTTAAATGAAAAAATAAACCCACCGACAGCTGCCGCATATCCTCAATAATCTGTAGTAGAAAACTTTGATGGGCGCTGAGGAACTGTGAAATTTCCGTACTGGATGCTGTGGCCACCGTTTGCAGCTGGGTTTCTAGTTTCCTAAAAGAAAATCAAAACGAATTGAGAATTTCTTGAAAACGAGGTATGGGCCATGAAACTCACGCATTCTGCAGCAACAAGCGATCGATAATGGACTGCAGACGACTTGAAGCCTTGCTGGCCAGTCCTGTTAATGAGCACAACTCCTGCTGTTGCTGGAGGATCACTGTGCGGTCCTTCTCCTTTTCCTGGCACTGACTTCGCACACTGCGCGTCTCCGCGGGAATGGGCGTGGCAGCGGATTGGCCTAAGGCCGGACCACTTTCCTGGGCATTGCAAAAACCACGACGCTCTTCCTCCTGCGCCTTGCGGGGAACCACCAGCCAGCCGCACAGTTTGGCTAGATGGCGAGTCCAACGCAGAGGCGGCTGATCCTCCATGAACACCTCGCACATTCGATGCCCTGGCTCGTGGCGACCGCCCGCGAAGCCTACCGCAAAGCACGGCAGACACAACGATATATCCCGGCACATCTGACAGCGAAATCTTATGCCCACAATGTGCTCTCGGTGACAGCTAGCACAGGAATTGCTATGTATCAAATGCTCTGTGTCCTCGATGCGTTTCACCAGTGCCAAAAGATTGCCATAGATCAGGAACCGCGTCTGGACACCCGCTCCCGTCCACAGTTTGTGGAACTGTGGCTCGGCAAGGCCACCAACGCCATGAGGACAACGGGCAAAGCTCTGCTCCATTGCCAGGGGTATGTTGTGGGCGCCGTAGGCTTTCTCCTCGCCCAGATAGCTAAGCAGCTTGCTCAGCGTGGCCAGGAGTTGCTCAAAGGTGTATCTTGAAATGATCTGCGACTTGGGATCGGCCAGTAGTCCAAAGAAATCGCCCACCAGATGATCGCTGCTATACAGTTTGCAGAGCATTATGAAGGTGATCTTAATTTCCAACAAGGAAATTGAGTGTCTGCGGTGTCTAAGGATACAAAGGATCATGAAATGTATAGATTTAAGCAGCAATCTAGCACAAAACCCACGGATCGTAGACATTCCAAAAGAAATTGGCCAGTAGGGCGGTGGCCTTGTCCAATTGATAGTCCACAGCCTGATTAAAATGTCCCAGCTTTTCGCAGGCAAAGTACACATCGTGCAGCAGGGAGGTCAACTGAAATGGGGGAACCATCAGCTCCAGCCCGCCACTCAAATTATGGCGATCCAAAATGGCCAAAACCAATTTGTAAGGGATTTTCCCAGCTGAAATTTGGATGTTAATCCTGGCAGGATTACGGTATTAACTCTACGCACTGTGAAATATCTTTTGCAGGGCCACAAATTTACTGGCACATCGGTAGACCGTGTACTTGTAGTCTCCATAATCCCTCTGCAGTTCCTCCATTATGGTGGAAAGGTCTTTGTCCACTTGTTGCTTCTGTCCTTGACTCCTTTGCGATCCCTTCTCTCGTGCAATCGTCGCCACTGCCTCGGCGCTACTTCGCATTTTTGTGAGCTGCAGGGGTACCGTCATTCCCAGCATTTCAGAATGTATTATCTTTTCTTTATTTTCAACGATTTCTGATCTTTTTATGAGTTCCTTTTGTTACCGCGTCGTTCTCGCGATCTCTTCCTCTTCCGTTAGCGCAAAAGTCAAATTTTGGATAAACAGGTGGCAACGCCGCTCGGTTATCGATTTTATTTGCTTAACCGTTAACGTTTCGAGTTTGTTTAAAAATGAATATGTCTTATGCAAATTCTAAATAAAAGGCTTTTTGAAGGCACCTATTTTACTTGTGTTGTTAATACAATTAAGGCGGCAAAATTTTGTAAAAAACACAATAGCAGTTTTGGTGGCTGCTATAATTACATTTAAATATAAATGTGTTCAGGGAAATAAAATATACAAGAGTTGGGAAGACAAAGCATGTTTGTTTAATTTTAGTATAGTTATTAACTTTTCTTAATCAATTTAGTTCAACCTATAAGTTTTTAAATTTGTAAAGAAACTGAAAACATTTTGCTTATAGTTTTATATAAAGTGTACACTGTATTGCGACCTGATAAATTATATATTTCTTGATCAGGATTACGAGACTAGTCGATACTTACTTCGATGTTCGAAGTAATCCAATATTTCCTTCAGTACACCAAAAAAAACACCCATTATTCAATTTTAAAATTAAATATATGTTGTATGTATATTTGCATCATTCCATTACAATTACTTTAACTTACGCTTAATTTTTTTATTTATTTTGTTTTCGTTTTAAAATAGTGGTTTTCTTATCATTTCGTCTCTTGTTTTTTACTTGCTTATATCAATATTGTAATATGCCAAGTTTATATGTGAGTGGGGGAGGCGGGGCAAAAAGGGGTGTGTAATTAGCTTATCTTTTTGTTGCCTTTTAAAAGCATTGTCCCGCTTTTGTATGCGAATCCACGGCATACGTACATAAATGTTTTGTGTTCATCATTAATCACTAATTATCATATGTGTTTGGGCTGCTATTTATATATAAAGATCGTTCGTTCTTTACTTGCAATGCGCATTTGCAATTTATGCTAGGGGCGTGAGGCGAAATTTTCATTCAATTTGCGTAATTAAAAATACAGCTACATACAATCATCGTAAGTCATAGATGATGGGGATAAGGTGTTCGCTCTTAACTATTTTTTTCTATTAGTTCCATTTAAAACCACTCTGTGTTCAGCGGTTTTCGAAGTAAACCGATATCAATACCAGGCTGCAACGCAAATTGAGTACCTAATTACAAAATATATGTTTTTTGATTGCGGGCCGCTGGACCAAAAGTGGCACCAAATGGACGCTCGATTTTTACAGGTTGGTATCAATTTTGTTTTAGCTCACTTAATTGCACATACTAATAAATCCTATATATGTATAAAGTTCCATTCTTTTAGATTAGAGTTTTCGCTGCGACTGTTTATTGGCTGTGGTTTTGGTTCATTGATTGATTTGCAATTGGTTTTTTTCTTTTGTTTTTGTTTTGTGGCTTGGATCTCAGAACAGAATTTGAAACCTGTCTATATTATTATATCATTATCATACGGTCCTAAAGTATAAAACGTTTGCAAATAAATTTAGCAGTTGTGTATATTTTTAATTTAAACTAAAATCATAAGGTACAAAACAAAACCACCTCGACATGTTCTGTTCTTCGCTTCGGGGCTGGTGGTAAATTGCGCTGGATCAGAGTTGAATTGAATAAATTATGCTATGCTAAAAGTTGGGCTACAAGGTTTCTCTGTTCAATTAGCACTTAAATACGTTATTGTAGTAATCGTACAATTAATAATATTAATAGTGAAAGACATTTTTCGCTAAACAAAAATCAACTATAGGTAAACATAAAAAAAATTGTAATTATACAAACCAAGAGTTTGTCTGCTTGCATTCTGTTTTGTTTAAGTTTTTCTTTTGTTTAATAATTAATATATATATATAATTAAAAATATATGTAAGAGAAGTCCTATCTGACAAAAAAAAAGTTGTATGGTAACATATAAAAGTATGTTCTTATTTTGTTTTTAGTTGGCGGCGGCATTTTGCACAGGTTTCCTTCCTTCTCTTGGTGTTTATGGATAATTTGTATATAATATATATATTGGGTTTAATATATATAATTATATATAGAAGTTTGAGGGCGTGTATGTTCGGTTAGCGCATTTCGCAAGTTAGACTTCAGCGTAGTGCGCACGTGAAACAATTATACGATTAAAAGCAGACAAAACAGACGCAGGAAATCAGGTCCCCGCGCTTCGGATCATCCGTCTCGCTCTCTTCCGAGGATAATCCCGAAACGCCTTTGCCGAGAGCTGGACATATGCATTATTCATTGCATAAACTCTCGGGCAAAGGATGGGGTTGACCTGAATCTCAACCGTCCTTGTGGTGGGTTTGGCTTTCTTAAATTAACCTGCGCCGTCTATGCTTTTCTTTATGTGTGAGTCGGGGGCGTGATTATGTAGGCGTGCCCTTGAGACGAACACATTTAAAAACGATAATTCTCATCGGCCATATGCACAGCCCACAGAAATTTGGTTCTTTGCGTTTTGTTAAATATCTTCTCGATCGGCACTCCGTTCTTTTTACACCTGCAAGTGCATTTAAAAACCAGTATTAGCTTTGGTATTCAGTTAAGTATTTGTAAGGGATAACTTACCAAGCCACCGATATGCGTGGATCGAGATAGTTTAGCTTAGATGTGCCCAGGGCAATGGTCTTATTCTCGTCTCTATCAGTCTCTTGTAATTCTAGTTTCTTCAGCTGGTCCTTCAGGCGCTCCAACTGTTTGCCCTTCTTGTCGGCATTGACCTTCTCCTTAACAGAGCCACGTTTGGCAGCCTTTTTCAAGTCCTGAAGCAATCAATGACAAGTATTAATTATATGCCTCGGTAAGAGCAAGTTATTTGACATATACTCACATGATATTCGGCCTCGCAATCGTCGATGGCATCGCGCTTGGCCTTGATCTTCTCCTTCAGGTTCTCCATCGATTTCTCGTGGCCCTTGGGAACGGAACGCTGATGGTTACAGAGGATGGCCACGGCACGATTGGCGCGATTGTAGGCCAACAGCTTTTCCGGCACCGTCGCATTCGGATCGGTGTTCAGTTCCAGCTGGTCTTGCAGTGTTTTCGAAGCGTTGTACGTACGGAACACCTTGGCCGTGAGTCCTATTTAAGCCACAACGATTAAGGAATTAGAAATGGGAAACACCACACACAGATAGGAATATGTACGCACCATCCATTAGCTCCTTGAGATGCTCGTTGAGCACCTGCGTGTTGAGTCGATCGAAGAGGTCGTCGCCCTCCTTCTTGTGCTCCATAAACAGCTCGAGGTTCTTGAAGACGCGCTTCTCCACCTCGACCTCGTTGTAGTAGCGAATGGAATCCTTACCGGGGAAGTCGAACACCACCACGTTCTCCTTGCCATTCAACTCCTTGTGCAGTTGGATGTGCTCGACACGCAGTGAGCAACAGCCCACGGTATCGGCCTGATCCTCATCCTTTTCGTTGCCCGCTCTCAGCGCCAGTTTGTCGATGAAGTAGAGGGCCACCGCTCGCTGGCGCACCCGCATCTCCTTCGATTTCCACTCGTCGCGGTAGGTGGCCCGAATCTTCTCGATCACCTTGTCCAGGCGACGAGCTGTCTCGTACTTGATGTGATCCTTCTCGCCCTTGAGTTTCGAGGAGGGATTCAGCATGATGTACTTGACCTGTCCCTGTACGTTCTCGATCCAGGAGGCCAGCCAGGTGACCGTGTTGTCGTGCCGCACCTCCTTCCAGCGCGAACCGGGCGGTGGTGCCGGCACCTTCGACTCCTTGCCACAGTTGATGGACACATCGCTGGCCTGGATGCGCCGCTTGATCATGCCCATTTTGGGATGCTCGCCGCGACCGCGAAACAGACCCGGCGGCTCCAGGCGGAAGTTGCCGATCTTCTCCTTGTGCCCGTCGATCATACAGAATCCGTACTCCTTCATCAGCGCCTCGTTCTCGTTCTTCTTGATCAACTTCTCCTCCTTGCTGGCCGCTTTGCGCTTCTCGGATTCCGCCTGGAAGAAGTTGAACATCTCCTGGAAGTTGCACTTGTTGAAATCCTTGATAATCTCCTTCTCCTTCGAGGTCATCGACTTGCGGAAGTCCTTGAAGAAATTGTTATTGAACACGTCCTTGGTACAGTAGTCATGATTCAGCATCTTTGCATAGAAGGTGGCCGCCTCCTCCGTTTCCTCGGACAGTTCGAGGGGCTTGCCATCGTAGTAGAACCGCACGTTGCGGGGCACCCGTTCGTAGGGAGGCGCGAATACAGGACCCTTGTGCTCCAGCGTTGACCATTTGACGCCATCCTCGCGCTTTTCCTCTTCCCACCTGGAATCAAAGAAGATTTGTATTAGTTACTATGGGAGTTCACTTCAATAAACCGTCTTTATATTTAATTTTTTTTATCTTTTTCATTTGGCCATACTTTAACATCGTTTAATAATATTTGAAGGTATACATTTTGACTTATATCTCAATAGATGATATATCCAAAGATAAATCCCTAAGTGTCACTGTCCAATTTTTTAACATTTCAGTGGTTGCTTAAACCTTTTTTTCTGGACTATTTTAACTATTAATATTGTATTTTCTCCCTTTTCCGAAGAATTGGGTCCACCTTTTTTCAAGCGGAGCACCCTAATTAAGTCGCACCATCGAATTTGCTCTTCCTCGCTCTTCCGACGCACTCTTCTCTTTTTGCCCGCAACCGTGGCTAAAGTAACGATCTGATCCCCGAAAATCAGACAAACTCGCCGGTTTCCGAATAGACGTACTGCCGCCAAAGAGCGCAAAACGACCGATGTCATTTGTTTTCTATATTTTAGTTTATCACATTACGCAAAGCAGCGGCGTTGGAATCTAACCTCAAAGTTGAACTGCCACTGTGTAAGTGTGTGAGTAATTTTTCGGGCAGCTCAGCTGTTTTTGGAGCATGGGGAAGTAAAGCGAAGGGGTGGAGGAGGGGCGGCGCATGCGTTTCGTGGCGAACGGCGTTTGCACAGTGGCTGCCAACAGTTGCTGCCCACATGCGCGGCACCTAAAATAAGTACACGCGGCACACAGCTTTCGACAACCACTGTGCGTGTGACTTTCAAAATGTAGGTCAGTGACATTCAAACTTCACGCACGAACACACGTGTCACACCTACACGTTGTTGTTGTGGTTTTTGTAACCGGTACTTGTAAAAAAAAAAACATGCCAACCAAAAATTCGTTTAAAATACATAAACCGTATGCTTTCCCCCTAATAAAATTGTATATTTAGCTGTGGGAGGCAGCGAGTTACCTGTTTCGATGATTAGTCAAAAGCATTTTACCTCGAGTAACCTTTACAAAAACGTTCAAGTAAATATAAAAGCGCAAAATCAAAATGTTTAACCGATTTGAGATTTAGTCAAGAGTGATTCGCTTTTATAAACCCATGTTGAGGTTTGCTTGCCTAAAAACTATTAGGTGATGTTGGTTAATAATTAATAAATAATTTTAAAAATTCTAATTCTTTTTAAAACATATTTTTGTTTACTTAGTTATCACAATACTTTGATAACCCATCCAAAACCTTTTTCTTTTGCCACTGTTCAGATTTCTTATAATAAGTATGTATTTAAAAAACAACCAAACCATTCGGGATTTTATATGAGCTAGGCTGACAAGGTTAACAACTGCTTAATTCAAAAAATTTCTGAATAGAATAAAGTGATAAGCCACTCACCATCTCCAAACCTCCTCCTCCTCTTCCTTGACCTTCGCACGTTTGGTGGGGGATACAGCGACCTCGGTCTTGATCTCCGACTCCTGATCGAAAGAATTTATTAAAATACCATGGGTTGAATCCGGAATACCCGGGGCTTACCTTCTTGATCTTCTTCTTCTTGGGCTTGGCGATGCCGTACTCGTCGTCGGGCTCCTCCTTGACCCGCTTCTTCTTGGTCTTCTCCTTGGGCTCCTTCTTGACCTTCTTGCGCGCCAGCAGCGGAATGTCGTCGTCATCGTCATCCATGCCGCCGTCAGCCTGATCGGGTGCCTCCTGCTTCCGCTTGCGCATGGCCAGCGGCACGTCCTCCTCGTCGTCGTCCAACTCCTCGCGATCGTCATCCTGGTAGGTTTCGTTCATCTGGCTATCCTCCTCGGCGTAGCTCTGGCTGTGCTTCACCTCGAACGGAGGCTCATCGGCGCGAAACTGCGACATGGAGTAATCACAGGAGCTGGCCTGCGACAGATTGTTAAAGCTCTCGTCCTCCTTCTTGATGTCCACAATCGATTCCTCGTAGCCGTTCTTGTAGTTCATTCCGCCATCGTTGCCATTGCCATTGCAATTGAGGGCAGACGTGGCTTCATATCCGCCTAGCTGTTGCATCTGGAAGGGATCGACTTGTCCCGAGTGCAACATGGGCTGGGAAACGGGCTCCGGCTTGACAAACACTCCATCGTACGATGGCGGGTCCTTTGACGAGGAGGACGAGCTGCCGTGCCGCGAACTGGAATGTTTGCTCTTCGACGAGGATGATGATGACGATGAGCTCTTGTGACTGCTGCTACGCTCCTTATCACGGGAGCTAGACGACGAGGAGGACTTGTGCCGGCTGGAAGAGCTGCTGCTGCGGTCCTTGTCCTTATCCCGACGCTCCTTGTCCTTCGAGGAGCTCTTGTGGTGGCCGGACGATGACGAAGACGAGGACTTGTGCTTGCTGCTGCTCCCATCCTTGTCCCTGTGACTGGACGAGGAGCTGCTGCGATGTGAGTTGCTGCTGCCGTCGCGTTCCTTATCCTTGTCCCGGTGCTTCGACGACGAGCTGCTGCTCTTGTGCCGGTCCTTGTCGCTAAAAGGGATATATTATGGTTATTAATCGTTCTGTTTATGGATTTCAACGGTTCTGAAAAGTTGCAGTCTGATCTAGCGGAATCGTGGCTTATAAGCTAAAGCTCTCAACGGAACAATTGGGTCAAATGGTCATTACAGCCGTGTTTGTGTAGGTAATTGAATAAAACTGGGCTGATTGCAGTGACTTAGAGTGCTGTTGTATGTCTGTATTACATTCAAATAGAGAGGCTTTGCGGTTTCTTTAGTCAAGTACATAATATTTGGTAGTATGCCTATTTTGATTAACTCGATTATTCTTAATAGATTGTGTATTATATAGATTTGTTATTCCTTTCTATGCGTAATGAATCAAACATATAAAGCCATTAATACTTTAAACTTGGAATTTGACCTATTTAGATTGTTCCAGATGGTTTTACAGGGGGCTCACCCAAGGCAAACTGCCATGTGGGGCTTGTAATACCATAAAATCTCTGGCTTTTTCCGACGTACCGGCTGCTGCTCTTGTGATCCTTCGACGAGCTGGAGGATCCGGAGCTCTTGTGCTCCCTGTCCTTATCACGGTGCTTGTCCTTGCTGGAGGATTTATGCTTGCTGCTCCCGCTGCCACTTCCGCTGCTGCTGCCGTGGTGGTGGTGGTGTCCATTGGTGGTCACCCCGTTGGATTGAACCACCTCGCAGCTGCCACCATTTTGTATGTGGATGTTCTGCGGGCGAGAGAAACAGAGAGAGAGAAAAAGAGCGAGGGAGATGAGTATAAAGTTATGGTTGAATCAACTAAAGAAAAAAAGTAAGAGTGGATCCGGGCCAGAAACCTGTGCATCCATCATGGTCTCCCGACGAATTCTCCGCTCTGCCCTGTAGATTTGCCCGTTCTTCTTGATTTCTGACTGCGATTCACGATTATCTCGTGTCTATCCGCTCACCACGTGGTGAAAAATCAACCCTAACAAATGCCGCGTAGGAAAATCCACTCGATGCGGCCAGCAATGGGTTAAAGCCAACGGAGAAAGAAGAAGAGCCGTAGAGCGATGGCGACAGGAAATTGGAAATTGTTTCCAAATCGAACCGTTGGAATAGGTTAAGAATACCGCTGCCAAACAATGGAGCACACACGAGTACATATGCAAAAACACGTATTGGAGAATACAGAAAATCGCATTTTTTTACGCTCTTTGCAGCATAATTTTTTTTTTCAACGTGGGCACTGCATCAAGGCTACACGCACACACTTGCACACACACGGGGTTGTTGTTGTTGATGCATTTTATTTTGGAGCTAGTCCTTTCGAGATTTTCTTCTTTTCGGGGTGGCACATTAATCTTATCAGACGAAAAAACTACACATATAAATGTAATTGCAAAATGGGACACTTGCAATTACATACAAAAACGCCGAGGGCAACAAAAACAACAAACACATGTGATTTTTTTGTATGTGAAAACGCCAGTGTGGCCGCATTTGGAGGCCACAAGGGGAAAACAATGAAACCGGAGTTTAAGAGGGCAATAAACAAAACAACAGGTAGGGAAAACAGAAGTAACTTCAAAAAATTTCAATTAAATTAGTTAATTTAAGTAAAACAAAGAAAATCAAGGAGAACACAAGTTGTGGGGACGGTGAAAATACTAGTTTTGGTATTTCAGCTGCGGCCACACTGTGCCAAATACATTTCGTCTGCTTCGGCTTTTCCCCTTTCCCTTCACCACCTCCTTCGCCTTTTACCACTTGCATTGTCGCCATTTTCGTCAATTACCAAAAGGCCTGTTCTTTATATTTTTTGTTGCTTTTTGCCTGCATTTTACGCACACTGCTGGCAGCGACGTCGACTGCGACGCCGACCGCGAGTGTACACTTTCAACTATTTCATGTACCCCACATTTCGCACCCAATTTCCATACTTCTGTTTGCGGCAGGCTCCCTATTCAACACGTTTGCACTTTCCTCCTTTGGCCTTCGTTAAATTACATAAAAAGGAAAGAGTTTTTTTTTTCGGACACTTACATTCTCGGCAGCCACATCCCCACTCATTTTGCGGCGCTCGGCGATTTCGTTTTAACTATTTTTTTTATCGCTCTTAAGTCCTTTGCCTCGGCACTGTTTTGCAAACTTGCGATTTTTTCACACTTGGCCAGTCGTATTATTTTTTTTTTGTTGTGGGATTCTTAAAAGTCCGGCGGCGGGGAAAAAGAAAAGCCAACTGGTTTTCCCGTTTAGTGCCCCTTTCGCTGCGGTTTTCCCTTCGGAGTGGCCAGTTTGCGCCAGGGGTCTATAACCAAATCGGCAATTTGGCTAAAATACTGAAATCGGTTTGTGCCTAAATTTGCCATTTACTTTTATCAAAGCGAGTACACGCTTTTAGCCTAGAGAGTACACCTTGAAATCTAGCGGCCACAAAAATCAATCTTAGCGGGTACATCTACCATTTAGCCAGGACACCAATCATATAAATAAATATTAATCAAATGCTTTCATTCAACTGCAGATGGCGATGTGTTCTGATCTGGACTGGATTTCAGGATGCAGTAAATCAATAGCCTAATAAGGTATGTTCTTTGCTTCATTCACTAAGTAATTCATTAAATATTGAAAGGTCTGCTAAGTATATATTGATAAGGAAAAATACAAACCTGAGACGATGCGTTCGAGGTGAACATTTGTTATTAAAAACAGGATAACAAAATAAATAAAACGCCACCAAAAATGCTTTATCATTGTTTTGTATGTAGGTACACAAGTTTATTCACTAATACATTAGTTTAATATTAATTTAGATAAAAAAAAACAAATGCATAACAAACATTTAACAGAGTTCTCTTATTTTTAAGCCTTAGCTTTTTCTGGTTTTTTGTGTGTGTGTTTATTTCAATTCAATTCATATCAATTCAATTTAATTCACTTTTTTTTTTTTTTGTTTTTGTTTATACACCGATTCGTTAGTTTACATCGAACCATATATGCATCTAGTTATGTATATATTTGTGTAAATTGTACTTGGCTCACTTGTAATTGTTAGTGCACCGGATTTATCTTATAGCAAAACAACATTAAACATCTATAAAAAGTGTTCGTACAGTATATTTAATTTAACTATGCCAGGCCCATGTGTGTGGGCGTGTGAATATTTCACTTTATATCATATACGAAACTATACCGAATTAAGTTTACGTTTTTTAGTTATAGATGTGTGTAGTATGTGTTTATGTAGTTGGTAACAGTCTTTTATCACGTTTAGTTTGGGCTATGCGCATAACGCACAACGTATGGTACATAGGTATATATATATATATATAATATATTTTATTTATATTACGATTTAGCCTAGTAATTGTTTAAATCCTCCCGTTTATGCTAAAGCTTAGCGGTGTGCGACTTCCAGCATTTATTTCCGTTTGCGATTTCGATTTCGACATACTTTTATTAAAATTTGTTTTACTTTAGGGGACACTTTTAGTTGGAAAATAGATGGTCGGAGTAAAATTGAGAAACGTTCGCTTCAGTTCGAATTTGTGGAGCAAGTTCAAAAACCGGAAACGGAAACAGCTCCACTTTACACTGGTAACTAGCTCTACATGCATGTAAAATTCCTCTCTACTTGGTACGTAAAGTTTAAAAAAACAACAAACTGATCAAACCGAGTTTGTGTGTGTGTGCGTGTGTGTGTGTGTGTGTGGGTTTTTGTGGGCATCTAAAGTATGTTTGTCTCAGGCTCACTCATAGGTTTGGGGTCAGAGGTCATCTATCCGTATCCGTATCCGTATCTGTATCTTTATCTGTATCTGTATCTGTATCTGTTCTGCAGCAATTACCTATCAGCTGACCGATTGGTTCTACATTTAGTTTCCCTCTTTTTGGGAAATTCCTCTTTTGGGACTTGAGCTGGCTGCCAGGACAGTAAGTTATCACATCGATGAAACCCTTCAGTCGAGAGCTGCACTCTCTCCTTCTCGTTCCCCCTTAATTCAGATCCTCGTCCTGCAACTGCTGCTGATCCTGATTCTGATTTTGATTCTGATTCTGATTCCGATCCCGATCCGATTCCGAGGACTTCCGGGTGCTCGCCTTGTTCTGCAGCTGCACTTCATATTCGCTCTTGATGTTCACATACAGCTCGCTCTGCTTTTGATGCTCTTGCTGCAGGGATATTAGTAAACAAGGATCAAATATTATAATCCATTAGTTAGATATTTCAGATTTTTAGATTACTCAAACCAACAGAATTTAAAGATCAAATAAATCAGGGGCCGAATTTAAGTGAGATACATTTACTTGGTTATTTACTGCAGATTGGATTTACGTAAGAAAAGTTATAGGATTAGAATTGCAAAATGTTGATGACAAAAAAAGATTAAATCATCGAAAATGTAACTGGGTGAGTTCAGTTATAAGCTCTTCAGAAAAAACCACTCCAAATATCATATAAATGATATATTATGTGAAAGTAAACATTACTTACCATGATCTCATCGAATCGCTGATTGGCGTGCGGCAAATCGTAACGCTGGCCCTGTTCCCTCAAATTCCTGGCAACATTAAGTTGTTGGGTCAGATTTCGGCCGATTTGGTTCAGAGATGTGTGCAGCACGTGCTCGATTTCTGTGGGTTAAAACAACAAACGGAAGGTAGAATTTAATTTCCACAACATATTTTAAAATATATTAGCCTGAATAACAGCACTAAGCATTAACCGAACATTAAAGATTCAATCCAATAATCATAATTTACCTCTAAAAAGCAGCAAAGACTTTTTAGAAATGAATTAAATGCTGCAAGTATTTAACCAGTTGTTAACCATTATTCAAATTTAGCTTTCCATTCTTTTCTTAAAACATTATCTAGAACTTAACTGGTATTCCAGCACTATTTAACCTTGGCTAACTATGATTATAGCTCACCTGTGCTGGGGATGAAGCGCCGCTTGGCGACCTTCTCCTCGCTCTCGGCGAGCGCAGAGCCGCTCCTCTTTAGGGTGGACCCAATAGCCTGGGGATCGGGCGTGAGTGGACCCTGGCAGAAGTCGCAGGGCGAGTGGGATTCGCTGCAGGTGCAACCAGTACCTTGGGAACTGGGCGACTTGGCCGCCGAACCGTGGACACCGCGCAAATGCTTCGCCGCCGTCACGTTGACCACACTGATGCTCTTCGAGATCGATGACTTCACGGACGCCGTTTCCGGCGGCACGAGTGCCAGAGGCGGAGTCTTGGAGCTGCCCTGGCCATGTGAAGTGGATGTTGAGGTCGCGGAACTGTGATGCGAACGCACATGATGAGCATGATGAGGATGGTGATGGGTGGCACCGCTGCCATGTGGATCCCCGAACTCTGAGGCGCTGCGTGCCCCATCATCCGCATCCTCGTCATCCTCCTCGTCGTCGTCATCGCCTTCGAGCTCCTCGTCCTCGTCCGCCTCCTCGTGGCCTCCCTCTTCGCCGGTCTTCTGCAGGTTCTGGATCAATCGCAGCACCGCCTTCTCCAGGAGCGCCGGATGCTCCGAGGCGGGCACATCGACGGTGGACTGCGGGATCTGCGTGTTGATGATCACCGAGAACTTCTTCTTCATCTCCTGCACCCGTCGCTTGCCCTCCTCTTCGCTTAAAAGTGTATTCACGCAGACGAAGGAGTGCACCTTGTTGGTCTCCTTGTCGATCTCCAAGTATCCCTTCGACTGCAGGTAGATAATGTTTCCGTTCCGGGTGAACAGGCGGTACGTCGACTCTCCATACGAACTGTTGCAATCGTACACTGAGGAATGGGAGAATATATAGTTAGTGATCTGTGATAGGTATTCTACTGTGTATCCAAGGATATTACTCACTCTGGCGAAGGGCCACGATCACCCAGCGAACGTCGTCGTTGTGCATGAAGGTGAACGGACTGAGGTTGCGCACCTCCTCCGTCATGTAGCCCGCCACGATGCCGATCCTCTGGTCGCAGTCGATTATCCTGCCGTCGATCAGGTGCCGCGTGCGGTACTCCAGCGTGTTCGCGTCGATCAGCCGACTGGCGATCTTCGGCGGACGAATTATGCGGGCGCAGGCTGTCAGGATCTAAAGAGAAAGAAGGGAGGATCAGAAACAATATGATCATGATCTTAAATCAATTCAAATTAAATTATAAAAATTAAAAGGGGTTTTCCTTCTGTTTTAGGATATGATTTTAGATAATCTGAATCTATAGATTGGCAAAAAACAAGGGAATATAGTATACTTACGATATCGTTGCCGCTGATGGTGTGCAATGGAATGACGTCATCGCGACCGCGAGTCCTTCTGATCAACTGGAGATTGGAGCTGAAGGTATTGGATCGTACTCCCCGCGGAGCTTCGTCACTCCGCCGAAAGCAGCCATCGATCTTGACCACTTCGTAGGCCGTGGGTTCCGATCTGGGACCAGCTCGAGCCAACCTGAATGCGAATATATAGAAAACAACATAAGAATATAAGATTTAATAGGATTTAATAAGATGTAAACAAGTTAATATATTGTAATATTTTTAAATAACTAGGTAAAAGGTTTTTGAGAATACAATGTGATATTTATGCGATAATATTATATGATGAAACTAAAGACTCATAATGCTTATAACAACCTGAAAAAGTTTCTAAAGGTATACTAAAATGAGTTATGACCTCTGAAGTCCTAAGGATTGACGTTAAAGTATAATGTATAATTTTTTAAAGCATACTTTTAGACAGATTTTTAAGTGTTTTGAAGAAACTTGAGATTTGTGTGGGGTAACTAACATTTTAGGGATGAATTAAGTACAATGCTTTGAATGCTTTATTTCTTAGATTCAGATTTGCAGTTTGATTACTTATATTCTTGGTTGCAGATATAGTTTATAGTACCCACCTCACGCGAAAGCTGCGCCTGTCCTCGCGCAGTTTGCGATCGATGTAGTCCTCCTCGGACTTGCTCCGCTGGCGGGGCTCCCCATCCGCGTCGGGATCCGCATTCGAGTCGCCGTGGGCGTCGAAGAGGTTCTCCAGCTCGGTGGGGATCAGCTGCTGCTTGAGCATGTTCTGGTCGTCGGGATGGGTGATCTGCATGATGCTCTGGCCGTAGAGGTCCGTCTGGCAGTGGCCCAAGTGCTGTTCGATGCTGGACGAGATCAGCAGGATGTGGCCATGGCAGGTGAGTGCCAGGAAGAAGCTGTCCAGCATGTTCATCAGTGTGTCCGTGATTTGTGGTCGCTGGTGCATCAGACTGTTGCCAAAGGCTACAAGTTCAAGGTTCAACAATTGATTATTTCTTGCAGTTAACTCACTACTTGGGTTACTTTTTAATTTGTGATATTCTGTATTTATTTAATATATATATAGCCGATTCCCAACTCAACTTACCATGCTTTAATCGCAGTGCATGTGCTGCGAATCGCAACACGGCTGTTTTATCCACTCGACGAGGTGACTCTGCCACATGAGGCACCATCGTGGAAAGCTCCTGGATGGAGCCATTCAGTTTGTCCCGCCGATTTTTCTCCGCTCGATTTCGCGCCTCACGACCACTGAGAAAATGCCAAACAAATGAAAAGAAATGTTTGAGTACCTGCTTAAATTTTGCAATATTTTTATGAGCTTACAAAAATATTTAAGTGCAATAAAATAGAATAGAAAATAAATCAAATATATTTTGGTTGTGCTTACGTGAAAATAATGATAATAGCTATTGTTAAAGCTTAAAACATAAGTATAAACCCTTAAATTTGTTTTAAAGGACAATTAATAAATATATTCCTGGGTAAAATAATAATAGTAAACGTTATATAACCCTTCCCATTGATGGGTTAAATCAGAAGAGCTTGCTTTAAAAAAAGTGGATTAAAATAATAATAGTAAACGTTATATAACCCTTCCCAGTGATGGCTAAAATCAGAAGTGCTTGCTCAAAAGAATGTGGATTAAAATGCTAATGGGAACGGCGACTAATGCACAATCATTTTGCCATTGGGGCAGGTATTATAGCTGAGCTCGTCGGCAAAAGTTTGCATCTATTATTGGAGAACCTTTTCAAAAACTGCCAGCGATGCTCGGACTACGAACAGAATGTCAGATTAATGCGGGTAATAAAATTGTGCAACCGACCAACCAACCAGACGTCTGTGTGCTTTTATAGATAAATACTATAATATATCGTGTGTGGTTGTCGGTCAGCGATAAGCAATCGCTCGTTGAGGTAGGAAAACCAAATGGGGTTTTCCAGGTAACAGTCTTTGGTGGTAAGAGGAAGAGTTTCCCGGAAGGTGACTCCCTTATAAACTGCCTGTATTTCACAACAAACTATTCATCGTATTTGAACTATCTGCTTGAGACTATTTTTGTATTTTCATGTAGCTTGCACTCGAAATCCCGACGGCGTCGCTTGTCCGTAACTTGTCCGTCCGTATGTCCGTCCGTATAGTATAGTTCCTATACTAAATTTGCTATATATGGCGCATGACTGGGCATTTGTTTGGCCGTTACGCAGTCGCAAGTATTACATAGCCAACAGGCTAGACTATGACAACAAAAATATTCCCCGATTCCAGCACTGCACCTCTCAGTCTGTCAATAATTATCAGTTTTGCATGGGTGGCGATTGGGGGAGGGGAAACGGAAGGATGGCAAGCGATGGAGTGTTGCGATTCAAGTGCAATGATCACGTTCTGTTTGCCTCGGCTTTAGTTCGTTTCACTTGGCGCCAAATGTCTTCAACGTAATTACTGCGATTGCATAAAGCCGAGCACAGCGAATAAATCACACGATCTTTCCCATTCATTAAAAACTAATTACTCTGTATGTTTATTATTTATTCTATAAGTTATGTATTAGGGGTTTTATTTCATCGGTCAGTTAAGGGGAATTTAGGAAGATTTTTAAGTGAGAGATAAAAGGTGAAAGTTGAACAAAACAAATACAAATATCTAGATTTTCGTGTTTTATTTTAAAAGTTAAAACCTTTTTTACACTTTTGACTACTTTCTTTTTACTTTTGAAACTTTCTATTAAATATGATATGCATATGGAAAATATGGATATTTATATTTATTGAAAACAGTACCCAGTAAACGAATGTTTAAAAATTCATCATTTCGGATCTAATTATTTTCTGTGTGGTCGTTTTCATCCGCTTCTGGTTGAGTTCATGAGTAATTTATACGGAAATGTGAGATCGCTGCGTTCGATTAGCAATGGCTACCGCTTGTTCGCTGCCACAATGTTGTTTTCAACCCACTCCACCACTTCACCAACCCCTTCCCCTTGCAACCCCTTGCAACCCCTATCGGCAACCCTCGAACTGATGTAATTTATTTTAAAACGCAATTGCAAAACAAGTTCGCAAAATACACACAGACATTTGCGAGTGCGAAACGAAGTGCAGGAGCAATTGCAATTGCAATTGCAATTGCATTGGCAAGACCAATGCAAACAGTAGAAAAAAATGTGAAAAAAACAACGTGAAGAAAAATAGGAAAGCAGAGAAAAAGCCATCCCATGCATAAGGAAAATGCGCAACAGTCGAATAAACAAATAAAAACCAAAACAAGTACTCTGAAAAAAATCTTATGGTTCTCAAAAAATAGTTTCGAAATGTTTTGTAGATGCTACAAAAAACAAAATATTTATTTTAATTATTTTAAAGTATTCATGTATATTACGGAAAATCAAATCATCAAGAAAAGCAACAAAGTATTGATTACCATAAAAAAGTATTATAAATTCAATTCAAGGGATGATATAAATTGTTTAAAAATGTGACAGAGCTAAACACAAATAGAAATGCAATACCAAGTAGCAATTTTGCTTATTAATGCAGTTACTATTTAAAAATATCTACGAATGACCAAATGCCATAAACCAAAATTAATTGAGCCAAAAGAACTTTGATTAAGGTATTCAACTGTGAAATACGAACATTACTTTTGATTTCATATAATGTTATTTATAGCCTTTTGTGGAAATTAAATGTGAATTGTATTGGCAAAAATGTTTGGTATGTGGAATCGAAATTTTGACATCAATTTTGAAATTCTCTATAGGGTATTTCAGAAGTTGAGGCAATTTCCCAGTTGCCAATGCAGCGATTCGTTGGCCTTGATTGAGTTAGCACAGTGCAGTGCACCCTTGCACTTGATGTCATATTGTTGTCGTTCGCAATTGCTGGCCAATTGAGTGGCCAGCGGGGAATGTTGGTTTTGGCCACTCGAGCTGTCTACTTTTTAGCCAATTCAAAGTGCCATTTCGCCGGTGCATGTATACATACATATACATATGCATGCATAGTGTTTGCATATTCATACACCTTTGCCGGTGAGTTTGTGTGTGACTGTTTGTTTACTCAACTTGTTGCATAGAGAACCGAAATACACTTTCCGAACCAAAACAAATCCTTTTTTATTGTTAATGAAAATTAATTTTAGAATTTTTATTTGAAATATGCCGAGGGAGGTTGGTAACCTTTTGAAAGAGTTGGTATTTAAAAGCGGCTCTTTTACCAAATTGAATTACATCTAAATCAAATTTGACAACACTGCGTATGAGTGATTTCTTTAGAATGCATTTTATAGGCAATGTGATAACTTAGTTTATTAATTATTTGGTGGTTATTTAATTTACGAAAAAAACTTTGATTTAATAAACTGTGTAGAATGAAATAAAGAATTACAAGTATAAAGAATACATTGGACATGTACCATGAATATTATTTTGCAATCAAGTCTGTTGTTGTATACTAAAACTACTTCTTTTAATATTATTCTGATTATTAAGTGCTATATTTTTCCCTTAGTGTACTATTGCTATCTCGCTCTCTTCCGCATTCTGTTTCTGTTGCGCTTTTTGTTTGTCTACTGCTGCTTACATTGTAAAGTGCGCGCGTATCGATAACCGCTGGCAGCACCACCACCACCCACTCATCACCTAACTACCTCTTTCCCCTCTTCCCTCTCTTCCCCATCCTCTCCTCTTCCCCCACTTCCCCCTCTTTTCCTGCTCTTCCCCGTTCTTGCCCGCTCTTCTCCCCTCTTCCTGCTCTTCCTCCTCTCTTCCCGCTCTTCCTCCTCTTCTTCCTCTTCCCCAAAGCAATGGATGCAGTGCGACCTTGAAACCATGCTAATGACGTATCGAAACGCATCGGATTATAATGCCAAGAGTAACGGTACAGCAACGGCAAAAGCGAGCGAACAAATATGGCCAAGTAAATAAGGAAGCGAATTTTAGTGCTCCATCGTTTCTAGTTTCTGTTTCTGTTTCTGTTTCTGTTTATGGCCCGTCAATCAAAGGGGGGGCGGGATTGTGATTGTGGGTGGATTTTGGGGGGTGGGAAGGGGTTTGTGGACTTGTGCAGCTCTCCTGCAGCTCGAATGAATGGCGATTTCGCTGAATGAATGAATGAATGAATGAAAGAAACGTCTCGGTGACGAAAATAAATCAAGAAAATGTTGATAAAAATATACAACCCGTATAAACAACACCCACGGCCTAATCAAGTGGTTTTTTTCCTTATTTGTTTTTTTTTTTCGGTGGTTTGGTGGTGGTGGTGCTTAGTTGGTGCCACAAGTGGCACAAGATGACGCCTAATTGGGGGAGAGCAATCTTCAATCAGGCACAACCAGACACTCAGCTGGATGTTTTGGATGCTTGGGGATGCTCGAACAGCGATGATGGTGGGGGTCACTTTGGGGTGGCTAATGCTGAATTACACCAAATTGGCTGACCTCCCGTCGAGGTCACGGGTGGATGCTGCCCCCCATTAGCACGATGGGTGGCGAAGTGAAGCCTCCCAATGAAAGCGGTGAATACCTATATGTATATGCGTCTTAAACTTATGTATATACATCCTCAAAGCTTCACATTTCAACAGCAATTATTTCCCATTTGCAAGCTAAGTATCCAGTTCTCCATTTGCAAAGAATATTGAATGCAAAATAGTTTACATATATATTAATTAATAAAACAAAATTCCCATCGAATTATTGGCGTCGCTTTTTTGCAGCATCAGCATGAGCGCTGATAATAAATTTTCATAAAATTTCAATTGATGAAAGTAGCACCCACTCATTAAAAACAATTATAAGTATTTCTTACTGCTCTTATTAAAAAAAAAATAGTTAGTGAATTAGAAAAATTTCTAAGCCCGAGGAACGAAATAAAGGTTTTAAGTCCATATTATCAATAACAGTTTTAATATAATTAATATTATATATTAAAATAAGTGTGATATTTTTTGTCCTTTATGATAAGGTAAAGTGCTGCGGGATTTTAAATTAGCGAGCACGAAAAATAATGATAAAGAAGTAAAGCTATTTTTAAAAGAAGATGTATGGTCTTGCTTTAAATCTATAATGTTATTTTAAATTTAATTAAATATTTGCAAAAAAAAATTTGAAAAACTTAAAAAAAAAAATTTTGAATTAGCAGAGATTTAAGAAGTATATCTTGAAACTCACTTATTTGAGAGCTGGAACATCTCCATCATGGTCTCGTGCGGATGCTGGTGGTGCGGATGCGGCTGGTGGTGCGGATGCTGCGGGTGGTGCGCGTGCGGATGTCCGTGCGAATGCGGATGCGGATGCGGCTGCGGATACTGGTGGTGCAGCGCATGCAGATGTCCCGAGTGTCCGGGATAACCGCCCGCCATTCCCGCCGAGCCCGGAACCACTCCCGCATTGGATCCACCGTAGCTCATGAACCTGCCACCACCACCCGCAATGGATCCTCCGGCGGCGGATGAGCCCGATCCATAGGGAGCATTCGGATACCACATATTCGGATAGAAGCCAGGCGGCGGTGCTCCATGAACCGGGGAATGTGCAAACGGATGCATGCGACCGGGATTGGATCCACCTCCGGCTCCTCCTGGTCCTCCTCCGGATGCTCCTCCCACTGGCAATGGACTCCCCGGCGATCGGTAGTTGAAGTGGTAGACGGAAGTGGAAGGCGGCCGGAGCATCACATCGCATCCGGATCCGGCGCCAGAAGGAGTCGGCGATTGGTAAAAGCTATTCGCACCGCTTCCACTCCCACTGGGCGCATAGTCACTGCCCAGCGCCGAGCTCTCGTTCTCATCGGGATAGTTGTCCTCGTCGAGATCGATCGGTTGCATTCGATTGCGGTTATCCAAGCGCGGAGCATCCGCATCCACATCCGCATCGCGATCCCAGCCGAGATCATCCAGTGGACACTCACTCTTGCCGAGAACCAAAAGATCAGTATCGATGGGTGGTGGCGGATCGTCGAAGTAGGGAATGTCTTGCTTGAGATCCTCAATATCCTGGCCGAGTCCTTGGCTTTGGCTTTGGCTCGTGGAGGAGTTCCTGCTGCGACTCGCACCCTCCATGTTCTCCAGCTGGAAAAATATATATAGAGAGAGAGAGAGAGAGCCGTAGGTTAGTTAATGTTTTGGTAACTGAACGATCGGCTGAGGAGATCATTGCATCACTCCCCGCTGATAAGAGTTGACAGTTCGCTTCTACTTCTAATTGCCCAATAGATTATTTTCCCATTTGATGGTCACTGCACTGCAAACAAAAATGTTCACAAACATCGAAATACATACCTAATATTTACCATATCAAAGCGATGTTCTACCTTTTCATTTCAATTAAATTTTTTTTTTAAATAAAAACGCTTATTAAACCCCCTAAATACATATTTCATACTTAAAAACAACTCTTTTTTTTTTTGTTTCACTTGCCAATACAGTTTTTGAAAAAATGTTTTTGTGTTGTATTTTGAGAAAATATAAATAGCAAACATCGGAATCAAATAGTGAACGAAAAATGAGCGCAATTGGACTCGACGTTCCTGGGATTTTTTATGATCGAACTCGTAAAACGCCCAAAGCCATAAACGATTGTGAGTCATGGGCGGCGAAGAGGGGGGATTCTCTGGGTGTTCGGTTGAATGACAAAAAAGCAAGCACAAAAGTCAAAGAACAGACCAAAGATATTCGGTGTTATTTATATGCGAATCTTGTCCAAGTGCCGCCTATAAATAATACCAACACTCTATACATGCATACACCCATGGATCTGCTCGGATCACGCACATATATCCGTCTATTCAGGGCAGATCTTTGAACTATATTTACTCCTTTCATTTCCTTTGGTAAAACAAGCGTATATTTATCTTGTGCCTCTGATTCACATGACAAATGAATTTGGCGCGATGTGGAAAGTGCGGGGAATTCTGGTCGTAAATTTCGTATTTCTTTGCCCTCGAGCTCGCTGTTTATTTGTTTTCCCTTGCGGACAATTGAATCTCTCTATATACATATATACTCTATATTTATATAAATTGGAACTATTATTGTCGTGAGAAGAGATTGTCTATCCTTGAAGAAACAATTTGGAATTTATCTAAATCTAGGTGCACACTACTTAATGACTGTAGTCACTTTTGCTTTTATTTTTAGGTGAAGTACCTTGAATTTATTCAGTTCGGTTGAGTTAATTGAAAATGAATTTATTTCACTTGTTTTTGTTTACGGTGTTTAGATATGCAAAGAAATCTACTAGAAGCAAACGATTGTTTTGATTGAAAAAATATATTGTATAAATTATTAACTTAAGTAGCAAGAAATGCCTGATGTTATTCTTATTATTTTTGCTTAATACGTACTTAATTCAGACCACCTTGTTCCTTTCTACGCCAACTTATAAAGCCCTTTGCCTAGCAGAAATAGCTAAGAAAACATAATAAAAAGCGATAAAAATACAAAATCAGATTGCAATCAACAAGGAAGTCGAAAGCCACTCGACAACTAAGTAATATGCAATCCAGGCATTTCTTTTTTCAGCTGTTATCATCGACGTTTGTCGTAATATTTGCGCTTCTTCACTTTATTAGTTTATTTTGCTGTTGCACTGTTTTTTTTTCTTTCCGCCTTTCCAAATTTGTTTTGTAATTGTTTTCGAGTGGCGGCGGGTAAACAAGGGCCATAAAAACAGCGAGAGGGGGGACGAGAGGCATATCAATTGCAGCCAAAATCGCCAGACGGCGTTGATGTCGCAGCAGGTTGCCGCCACTTTGCCTGGCGTTCTGTCGGTGCAATGGGGCGTATACGCAACGCGGCAAAAAACACAACAAGTGGGTGGGAAAGCGAAATGGAGGCGGTGCGCTTTGGGATCCACTTAATTTAGACATTTCTCGCGGTTCATTTATTCATTACAATACCACTCAAGGCACAAATTTCACCCTAACTATTTGAATATTCTATATTGTTGGCGAAACGGGGCGTATACGCAACGAAATAAAAGCGTGATAATAAGGCGTCAAAACAGAGTCTAAGTTGGGATTTTATCTTGAGTAGTTATTTATTTAAAGTTCAGGTGTGAAGAGTTGTTACCATAATTGGAATATAATAATAAAATACTTAAATATAAGCGAACAAAGAAGTTCGAGCTTAGCAATCATACAGTTTGTTTTTTATGATTAATTTACAATTATTTTAGAGTAATTATTCCCCGCAAATATTCACTTCAATTGTATTATTTTAGCTGTCAGATGCACTATTATTAAAGTAATACCATGTTTAAAAATGAAAATGTATTAAAAATATTCGAACCTGATTTATTGCTTCCAAAATTTGTAATCACAAGTAAAAATAGCTTTGGCTTTGCAATCGTTGCTTTTTATCTTGAATTATTATTAGGGCAATTGGAAAGTGGCGCACGCCACGCCTTCAAATCTATAAACCTCAAATCGATAAAGGTTTGCAAAAGTCGCTCGACAATTTTGGTCCCATGGGAGCACCCAAATTCAATGGGGCGGCGAACTTCTCGAGTTTGAGTTCGATTTCGACTCTATTACGCCCTCGACTGGTCATATAAATTTGGATATACATAAGTCGTGTGTATATTCATATGACCGAGAGTGTGTGTGTGTGTGAGTAGTAGGGGGCAATTATAATCTTCGTACAGATATTCAACATGAATATTGCTTTTGATAAGCCGCCAACCGCCGCTTGTTTGCTCTTCTCGATTGCTGTCCTACCAACAAATATACCTAATATATAACGACCATGGCCAGACACCCACAATTGTTGTTGAGCCCCACCGAAAACAGTTGGTGTTGGTGTTGCTGTTGCTGTTGGTGTTGTTGTTGTTGTTCAATGTCGGCGTTGCTGGTGGTGTTACGTACCGCAGATATCTCCAGACTGATTAGAGCCCGGGTGTCTGGGTTTGGGTTGTGGGTCAGCTCTTAACAGTTAATTCTTTGGAATGCGATATCTACTTAAAAGTGTTATACACCAATTTAATGTATTGCGTTCGGGTAGGTCTGTAATTTGGTAAGTCCCCTTTTTAATATTCCAATACCGTTTCACTGTACATAAGTGTTCATTTTTAAATTTATTATAGTGTCTATCGTTCACTGCGATACTTTTGATTATCAGGAAGTGATACTGTTGTTAAAATATTGATGGCCATCAAGGGTTCTTATCATGTAACCGATTTTGTAATCCCGTCTAGTCATCTTTATAATCCAACATTGTTGCATTTGTTCGTGACTCAGTTGATGAATGACTTTAGTTGACCAGATAAGCACGATGGTAAACTATTATTCACTTGTTAGTGATAATGCAAGCAAGTGTCGTAACTAGTGAGCTGGCTAATAACAGCTTGGTTTGGTAATATTTTCGATCACTTAGATTAGATTACCAAATTGCAACCCTTTTATTGTTTACATTCTTTAAAAATTATTAAAACATTTCTACATTCTACAATTCTGATTCTGGCTTGAAAATTTGGAGTATAAGGTGAACACTTTGCTTTTTAGAATATTATCAGAAGCCCTGAAGTTTGTGGCCTGTGCTTTGCGTCCAAGTTTCTTTCTTAATGGCCTAACCTTCTGCCAAACATTTTTCTGTTCTAAATGAATACGAGATTATCACAACTGCTTCAGGGTTGCCGCCTGAGTGATTGCAGTACCCTTATATTGTAATGCCCTAAGCTTTCTCTTGGCTCCCATAAATCAATCATTAAATATTTACGACTAATGCTGGCCATAACAATAACAACAATAATAACAATCGAATAAAGGGAGAGGGCAAAAGGCAAGAAAAAATCAATTTCACTTACATGTTTTGCGCTGTTTCTTGTTTTTCTGCATGAAGCTTCTCGCTCGCTCGCACTCTCTCCCGCCCTTTCTCTCACTCTCTTTTAGCAAGCTCTCTCGCTTCCTCTCACTTGCAATTGCCGGAGCGGTTTGTTTATTTCTATGCCCGTCTCGCTCTTTCTGCTGGTGGTTGGTATTCGCGAATTATTTATTTTGTATTACTTTGTCTTTCCTCACCGTTGTTGTTGCTGTCCTGCAGATGCAATTTGCTTTGTTATCTTTGCCGTTATTTGCTTTTTTTTTTCTTTGTGGTTCTTTGTACTTTACTTTGCAAGGAAAAAAGGGAGAACAAAAATAATAATAGTACTTCAATTTACAGTATTTTGTGTTTCAGTTCACTTGGTAGTTGTCTTATACATTTCTAGTCACACTTTCGTTTTGAAACCGCTTTTCTTTCAGTATTTTTTCAACCATTTTCCGAACACACTTTTTGTAATTTTGTTCAGTGGACGGGTTTTTGGGGAAATGAGCTTAGGTTACATTCTCTCCAGTCCTTTTTTCCGACTTCTCTTTTGTTTTACTTTACTGATTATTTTGGTACATATTTGTGTATTTATTTATTTTTTAGTTGTTCAATATCATTCAATATTTGTACAGCTGGAGGTATTTTGTTGTTTTGTTTCACTTTGTTGTTGTAGTTTTTTATGTTGTTGTTTTGCCATTAAGCTTCCAGCAAGTGTTAATTTCTTGTTTCTGAAAGAATGGAGAAAAATGAAAAGGGCTATGAAAACACCTCATTATTTTTGGCTTAAGTCTTTGAAAACAACTAAGATATTAAAATTATAAATAGAAAAAATATGTATGCATTTAATAAACTATTTAGCAAACGTTATTTAAATCTTTGACTTTTAATAATAAGTAAATGCATAGAAGTGTATTTATAACTTCGTTTTGTCTTTCCTTTTATCTTTGCTTTTCACGTTTTATAGCTTGATTCAGAATGTAACATTGTTTTTGCTCTGTCCGCTATTTGCGGTTGATTTTTGCTAATTAAATGAATACTTTAATTTATATATTTGAATTTTTATTTCCCACTAGCTGGCGAGCCGACACAAAAAATGTTAATATTATTGTTGATCGGCTCTGAGCTGTCACCTGTTGCTTTGTTGCTCTACAGCTGCTACTAAATGCTTCTTAAATTCTTTTTGTTCTTAACTTTTTGTTAACTCGTTGGCTTTGTGGCTTTTTTTGTGAAAATATAAACCGGTTAAAGCCGACCCAAAAGTTAGCACCACCAGGGTGGAATGGACTTGGCGAAGGGGGTGGTGGTTCGGTGGGTTGCAAATTGACGGGAATTATTGAACCCGACTTTACCCATCATTGCTGATATTTCACTTGAGTTATTTTTGCTGAATTCGACATATTTCGATGAGTGTTAATTTATGATAATAAACCGATCGGAGCTCTCTGATTAATCCAACATGTATCTCTAGTTACATTTGAAGTTTATGAATATTTCTACATAGAAAAAGGGAGTACATTTTCATGATTTCCTTATAATTAAGGGGAAGCTTCAAAAGTTTAAAAAGTTTCTAGAACATTGCTTTTGACAAAGTTGTTTACGTGATCATTTTTAAGATAATCGTTTGCTTTTATCGAGCTCTTTAAATGGCATCAGTATAGTTTATATGGCTATATCCTTTTATCTGTAGTTTCTGGCTTAATTCCTCTCACAAAATATCTATACTATACCGTATACGTATTTATTTGTGCGCATACAACTCAAGTGTTGCTTGGCAGTCTAAATCAAATATACATATAAGAAGATAAACTTCTTTACAAGTGTCTCCGACTTTTCCCCAAAAAGCTCACACAGACACGCACACGGGCTGCCACAAATACTGCTATGAAAATGTCTGACTGTTTGCTTGTGTGTGTGTGTGTGAAGCAAGGACAACGGAATCCTGCGGCGTTAGGATTCCCTCTGCGTTGCGGAGGGGCCTTTTGCGTAGGTGGGCGTGTGCACACACACACATAGGGACGGAGGTTCCCACTGAGTGTCTGTGTGCGTGACAGATTTTGTGCGTGTGGGTGCGTTACAGTGAAAACCAAAGTGATTAAAATTAATAAACCATTTCAAAGTTTCTATAGTAGATATTTATTATCTAAAACGCTAAACAAAATTGAAAGCATTTTAAGCTGGAATCTTTAAAATGAAAACTAAATGAATAATGATCAAAAGAATACATATGTGTATGTATAGGTATACAATATATAAAGATGTTAATTTAAATTATTTTTAATGAGGTGAAAATTCTTTTTTTTTTTGGTGTTCCTAGTTATTGTCATCTAAAAAACCAATTTTTTTATGTCGTCCTTTCTCCAGATTCCTCTTAAGGGGTTATATACCTTTTTTATTTTCAAAAAATCGAAAATTTTTTTTTTGCTTTATCTTAAAGAACAACTCCTTGAGAACATTTTCCCAAATTTTCATAGAGATTCGAGCAGTAGAAAAAAAGTTACAGCGCTTCTAACCGCGCGCCTCGTAGCGGCCTGAAACTGAACTTGAAACTTTAAACGCGATTATCTCGAAATGGTGTTTCTTGAAAAATGACTTTGCGGTGATAACGATTGGCGGAAAACTACTGAACCGATTTACTTCAAATTTTTTTTCAAATGTTCGTAATGAAATTATCTTGTGCTTGAACGATCGACTTTTCACGCAAAAATTTTTTTTTCGCCGAAATAAATTTTTTAGTGAAATTTCTAGAGACCAAAAAGCTCATTTTTTGCATAAAATATAAAAAATTTTTAAATCGTTCGTTCAAGCACAAGATATTACTCTAAACTAATGAAATTTTTTTACTTTTATGGCTTCAGTTGACCGGTTCGACCAGGAGCGTTATCACCGCAAGGCCCTAAAAAAAAAGGCCTCTAAGGGAAACAGCCACCCCTTAAAAACTAATTGATATTTTTCCACGAAATTTTGCACAAACATAGTTAATAAAGTGTACTATCAAAAAATTAAAACACCCGAGTAATTAAATAATTGCTACATTCCTAAAAAAAAATCCGAACTTTCCTCTTTTTCTTCGACAAAGAAGGTATATAACCCCTTAAGGAGTCTCCACTCTCTTCTATTCGCCTGTTTATTTGTCTCGCTTTTCAGGGACATCGCTGGCACGCAAAAAATCTTTGCGAACATTTTCTCGGTCTTTTGTTTGTGCTGCGGTTGACAAGTGCGAGGCACACACGCACCACCCAGTGAACCGCCCGGCAAACCATCCAACGCACCACTCAGCGAGCCACCCGGTGAGCCACCCAGTCACCTATCCACCCGCCATAAAGCTGCAGTGGCTCCGGTTTTTGGAGCCGTATCTGTATCTGGTTATGGGTCTGGATGTGGATGTGGATCTGGTCTTGGGGTCCGAGTTTGGGGCCTGGGTCAATCACCCGCCAGCGGGTCATAATTGCAAAAAAGCACAAAGCAAACACACACACACACACACACACGGAGACAAAAATAACAAAAAATTAAAATGTAATATAAAAACCTTTTTTCCTCTCTGCTCGCCACTTTTTATTTTTTGCACTCGCCTTTTTTTTATTTGCATTTCTGCGACGCGACGTAGAAGAAAAAAGTAAAACAAAAATAAATTCAAGTGCTCCGTCAAAATAAAGCCGAAACAAAAAAATGAAAAAGAATAAAAATGAGAACATCAGAAATGGGCGAGCAAAAGGCGAAAAGCTATTTGCCAGACAACGACAACGAACTTTTTGGGAGCGCAGGGGGGGAGAGAGATGAGCGGGGGATAATCAGAGGTGAAATTGCGAGAGAACCTTAAGCGAGCGACACACACACACAAAAAGAGAGCCGGTGAGCGGTAACAAAATAAATAAATTATATAATTTGCTTTGACGTTTGACGGCTCCCCCTCCCCCCCGTTTCTCCTTCCCCTCTCCCCTTCCCCCGCTCACTTTCGGTTTGTTTACATTCGGAATAGTTAAAGTTACATCGAAGAGCGCGCATTAGATTGGGTTTGAACCACAGAGCGTATACGCAATATTACGTATACGTCTCGCTGCGCGCCATTGTATGGAAATCATTTATAAATAGAGCAAACAACAATGAAAAAAAAAAGAAAACCATACGAAAAAATGCCTGCTAATAGATCATTAGAGTGGATCATTTTGCCAGCGGTGAACTGATTTCTTAGAGGGGGCTGACTTATGATATTTACGATTTGCCTTGGCAGCCCCTTTGAAGTCGGCTAAAATCTGAGTAAGCTATTGAATGAACTGCATTGAATGAGCGACGATATCTTCCACTGCCTTATCATTTTTATAAATATATATAAATATTTTATAAATATTTGTTGGGTGTCGAGTTATGCTTGTATACATTAATTTTAACTCGATACTGCTTCTGCGGTATCCTTTTACACAAAAAAAGGGGTTTCTCCGTTTAATACCCACAAAATATCGAACGGCGCTGACAAATTTTGACAGCAAGTGTTTTTATATCAATAAAGAAAAATATAATATATAAAGTAATCCATGTGCTAATTAGATAATAAATATTTTTGTTATGTTCATGGTATGACTTTTTAAAAAATTTATCTCGAGCCTCAGTGGAGATTTTGAAAACAAAATTGTTATTCTGTATTTAGAAAAACATCAACAACTTTATTTTGAGCAAACACAAGGCATCAAATGTTGTATTTGCACTTAAAAAGCGATAAGAGTACTAAGAATTTTCCAGTTATGAAGATTGGTAAATTTTAAACACAACACAAACATGAACTTTGGTAAACCAACCAAGTGAGAATTTGTAAATTCATTTCCCATAAAGTGTAACAAAATTTGTTATTGCGAATAAAACAAAAGAGGATTTTCAAAAAATGTACGAACGGGAATAAAATCAAAGAATTTCTTCTTTTCGCTCTTCTCCTTTTCCCCTAAATCGCCTCCCCTCCCCTTTTTATCCCGCCCATTGGTTCTGTCTCAGCCGCTGCTGCCATTTTTTCGACCTGGCCCAAAGCTGACGTCGACATCAGGTGGTGGCTGGCAAAAAGTTGTCGCTAAAACCAAAAATAGCTGAGCACTCGCAGAGGGAGCGCGACTAAAGAAAGAGCGAGGGCGGAGAAGAATCGGTGCGGGAAGAGAGAGAGCAAGAGGGCGGGAAGAACGTGGCCGTTGGAGCACGTTCTACAAAGATTCCCGAGTGCACTTTGCATAACATTCCATGACATAGGCAATATAATCGTAAGCTGTACACAAACTAAACCTAATGGAGCACAGAAAAAAAGCTAAACATATCAGTTTCTTGCTGGTTTATTTGCTTACTTAGGCAATTAGGAAGTTAAAAACTTGCAATAAATATTTAAATAATAAACACACAGCTCCGGTATTACCACAAAATGTTAACAACTTATGGCTATAGTGTTACTGGTTTAACAACTAAAGTAAATAAGTAAATAAACAAAATATAAATATCCCCTTTATTATAGTATCAGCTTACATAACTTGGCTCGAAGAAAAACGAAAATAGGGAATATACATATGTACATAGGTAAAATCACTATCTGGCACAATAAAATCTAGAGCTATGTGGCTGATTATATGTGTATTTCTAATCTGTATATACGACTAAACTAAACTAGTTTGACCTATAGAGACTTTGACGGAGGGATGATAATATGTAGCTTCTAATTCAAAGCTTATCCACACACACACAGAAACACACAGGTATATTATACAAATTAAGATATATACTTAGCTTTTAGTCGAACGGTAAGAAGTTACTAGAAACTATGAAAACGTTTAAAATGTTTTCTATGCAGTATACACCACAGGGCGTATGCGTAATGCAGTGCTTGGAATATTGCGTATACGACATGTGAACGACAGCGAGCGGAGCTGATCTAAGACCGAATTGATTTAATTAGCATAGTGGCCTAAGATGGCGTCAAGCTATCTCAGCCGTATGCCATCCAATCAGGCATGCTAAATTCGGCTCAATTCGGCTCCAATTAAGATTCGATTTATCGATAAACCTGTGTATTGGCGGTTCGATTTTTGATTGCCCTTAATTAATGGGCGGATCATTTACAATGTGTTTTGGGATTTTCACTCTATATTTTATAATATTTATTGTTGTTGTTAAGAGATAATAACAATTAGGGGATTTATAAAAAATTAGTTAAATGTAAAATGCAAAATAAAAATCTATGATATTACATTTCAAGTTTACTAATCAAAACCTTGTAACCGATTATAGGAAAAAAAGAAATAAAAATAAACGAAGAGTATTTTGTATTTTACTGGTGCCAGCAACCAACTTTCCCCTAGTATAATTATGCTTGATTGTCCGAAATTTTGACATTTTGAATTACAAATTAAATATTTAGTTTTATTTTCTAGCTTAGATGTCTAAGGTCGGGCGTTAGTTTCTGAGTTCGTCAGTTGGACGTTTTTCTTTTTAATTGTCTAGGTTAGGTTATCAATTGCGCTGCTCAGGTCCGCTTTCATTATGGATTCGGCTTTCCTTTTTCCCGCAGCGTTCGAGCGTCTTAGCCCCCTCTTTTTCGCGCCGCCGCTTAACACCCCGCTGCCCACATTTTTCGCAGCGAGCTTTTTTGCTCTCTCGACGGCTCTCTAACGCTACCGCTGCCGCTTGGCCCGCTCGACGCCGAAAACGCTCGCCGCTCAGCTGAACCGACCGCTCTTAGACGCGACGTCAGCAAAAAAAATTTCATGAAGGCGACAAAAACAACGAATTATAAAAAAAATATACAAAAATGTTCACATATATGCGAACTCATAAAAATATAAAACAAAAAATGGTACAACAATTTGGTCGTATATTTTATTGTCTTTAAAAAAATACCCAGATATCTCAAATTATATGGTTTTATAAGCAGGCATAATTAAAAACAAATAATGGTACCAGAAAACACGTATCTATATAAAATTTCTACTTGTTAAAAATATCGTAGATGTTGTTTCATTATTTAGCATGTATTTAAATATAATAAAGCACAATTAAAACATTTTCCATTTCGACGCAATTGAATTGCCAACATCAGCATGCGATTCAAAAATTAATTATTAAAAATGCAAAAAAAAAAAAAAAAAAAAAAAGAGAAACAACTATAGGCAAAGTAACAGCGAAAATAATAAAAATAAAACACACAAAAATCATCATCATCGGCAACAGCAAAGAAAACCTTGAGAGTAGCAGCGGCAAAACGAAAAAAAATTGGAAAGAAAAAACAAAAAACATTTTTTATTGATCGGAACTCGGAACTGGTAGATCATTGAAAAATTGTTGCCAAAAATGGCTGATGTATGCTGGGCTATAGGTTTCTATATTTACGTTTATTGTTATTATCATCCAAAGCTCAGTTCTATATCTTTTATTATTTTTGTTTTTGTTTTGTTTTATGGAGAGTTCAAGGAAGGCTATGGCCCCATCATAAAGTGCCCCGCCATATAACATCTATATTCATCGGAATCCGTTGATCTCCGCACACCCATTAAGCCGCAGATCTGGAATTTGGCTAGGCGATAAGTAAATCACTGAGCTCCCTGCCAAAATCTCTATATCTATATTTTCCCCCTTTCATTATTTTGGGTAATCCAAAGTCGTAGACTCGTCCTCGCGTTCTGGTTTGTTATTTCTTCTTTTTTTGTTTTTAATAAAAAATTAAATAAACCGAAAAAAGAAACTGGAAATTCATTAATATGTTAATTTTTTTGTCTTGCCTCATTGATTGTGTCGCTGTGACTGTGTGTTGCCTTTGGGACTGTGTGTGTATGAGTGTATGTGTGTGTGTGTGTGTGTGTGTGGCTGGGCGAGCGTTAATGTTGGCTAAGCAGATTTTCGGAGGATGACAAACATAGACAGTGGGAATGTTTTTCGTAAATCGAAACTTTTCCCAAGTCAACAAAAAATGAATAGTTCTCGGGTTTCGATCGCACAAAAATGCGCGCACGCGCCGCTGATTTCAGCACATTGAGATAAGGACTCGAGTACATCCTATCACACTAGCTTTAGTTCAGCAAAAAACCAACGTCGGTAGCACTAAAACTCCAATATAGCATTTAATAAACAACAAAAGCTCAACAAAACAGCAAAACATTGTTCGCCAAATTTGGTATTCTATTATAACAACACTTAATGATCTAATCCCTTAATGCTCCAAAAATGAGGTAAACAAGTCTCCAACATCATTAATCGAATACTCCAACGTAGAACATCAAATACTCCAAGACTTGTTCAACAACTCACCAATGATTCAATATCTTTTTTTTGGTACCCAAAATTAATGAATCGTTCTTCAACATAGACTTATGAATACAGCAACAAGTTAAACAATATAAACCAATCAGTGGCCTAGTACTCAAAACATCGTTCTCGAAAACTCCAATTCACCAACACTTGTTTAACAAACATTAAAACTTGCGCAGTATATTTTTTTTTTAAATTCCAACTCTGTCGACTTAATACGCCAAATCTACCAAAAACACTTATATCAATAAAAGCTTCCAGGCCTTATAAGTAATACTATATTGAATGATTTCATTAAGGTCACCGCCATCTACCTTCATTTATAATATTTCTTCTCGGCCGGGTTTTTTGTTTTTTTTTTTTTTGTTAGGTTTTTTGTTGTTTCAAACTTTTTTACACAAAAGCACAAACACTGGCACACACACACACCCGAAAAAAAGGCGCAGGGGCAACACGAAGTTTGTTTGTTGCTTGTTGTATTTCTTCTCTTCTTTTCTTTTATTTGATGTGTTTCGTTTTTTTTTTTTTTTGTTGTTTTGTTATATGGGACTTTGGGGGGCACTGTTTGATATTCCAATTCCATTCGTTAGCGCGGCGCCATTTACGTTTCTCGAGCGTGTTCTTTGCATTTTAGCAGCGGCGGAGCCCACGAAAAAGGCAAGAGAAGGAAACTGCTCGCACTCGCACTCGCTCACACGTACACAGCCAAAAAAAATGAATACAAACACAAACACAAATGCAAATACACAGATGTACGAGTACAAATAAAAATAAAAATAATAATAAATAAGAAAGAGCGACGGCAGGCGAACCAAGCGAACCGAATGGCGGACCAAGCGAACGTCGCGACGCGTCCGTCCGAACCGCTACAGAAACAAAAATTAATTACATATATTGAAATCACAAACTAAACTAATCAGCCAGACCAGCGAGCAGCGACGCCGGCAGAGGCAGCGGCAACGGCAGAGCGGCGAATCAGCTGCCCGAAAAGCTGCCGCTCCCGCTGCCTAAAACACAAAACAAAAAAAACAATACAAAAATAAAAGCTTGCTCCGACGACGGTGCGAAAGGGATGGCGAAACGCCGATCAGTAGCGGGTGCGAGCGAGAGAGCAGCAACAACCTGCGTTGGAAAGCTGTTGAGACCTTGACTAAGGTTTCCGGCCGGGAAACCCTCGCCGAGTTCATGCTCACCAAGTACAGAGAGAAAAACAAGTTGGCAGCACCAAATTTCGCAAAACATACAGCTATAAAACAGTAACGCTTTGATATCAGTTTAAAGGGTGTCAGAAGTATGCTATAAAACGTAGAAAGTCGCATTTCGTCTGTTTGCTTCGGTGCTTTGATAATGTTTACTTTCTACAGTATACTTTGCATACTTTTTTGGACCGAGCCAGCTTGTTTTAAACTCTTACAGACTTGTGTAGTTTATAGCCTTTCGTAACTGCAGTGGTCGAAAAAGTATTTGAGAGTTCATAGCCCCCAATCTACTGTGGGTACTATTTTTGTGTGTTTGGGATTCCAGAAACTGTAAGTACCCTGATTTTCTGCCAGTGCACTTGTGCCGAGAGCCATCGACTTGTCTCTCCGCTCTCTGCGGAGCTTTTTCTTTGCGGCAGAGGCGCGACAGTTTGTCGCTGTTTAGTCTATGAACTTGACGCTGGCGTCTTACACAATGCTGCCACCGTCGCAGTCGCCGCCTTCGCCATCGCCTCCTCCTCTTCTTCTTCTTCGTCGTCTTTTTCTTCTTATTGCTGCTTCTCTACACCAACACACAAACACCTAACCACACAACACACACACACACACACACACTCTTGGATATACATTTACAAACAGAGAAACACACACACACACACACTTGGAGGAGCACTCTCAAAAAAATAACACTCGCAATCGAAACGCAAACACTCCGGGAAATGGGGATAATATCAAAGGCGATCTATTTTTCCATGCTCGACGACGAAACTAACCCAAGGAAACTGTAAATTGTAGAGCTGGGAAACCTCAGAAGGACACTCCTCCTCGTTAAGACTAGGAACTACGGAGGCGCCACTTGGCCAAAATGGGCCGCTTCCACTGCAGCAACGGCCGATGCGGAGCGACGACGCGTCGTGGGACTTGGACAGATGCCGACCGACTGCCACCGATGAGGCCCGGTCCAAAGCACCCAGCGCCCAAGACGTTCGACGGACGGACGAACGAACTGAGGAACGGACGAACCGACGAACGGACGGACGGACGGACAGCAGCCAGGACGCTCGCTCAGACAGCTTTCGTCTCGATTCGTCTCGTCTCGTTTGGTTTCGTTTCTGCGAGCGAAGCGGAGCTTTTCACCCCCTTTTCTCCGCTTTTCCCCGCTTTTCCGATGAGCAACAGTAACGCACAGGAGTCTAAAGTGGCTGGGCAGACAGGGCGCATACGCAACATTCGAGGCGAGCGATAACTCGACTGCCATCTTGCTTGGCCACAGACGCGGTTACTCAAATAGAACTCTCAATTATTAGAGTCTTAATACAGAATGCTTCAGTTAATTGAAATTTTGTTGACTTGGTGTTTCTAAAATAATTAAATATCCATTTATATTTATTTATAAATTCACAACTCATTCTTTTATACTTGACATTTACATTTACAATAAAAAATTTCGTTTTCCAGAATAAACTAACATTTAATAAAGTCATGACATAGCCATCAAAGATTTATTATAATGTTGACTTTACTATCGTATATGCAAAATATTTTCCTGCTTTTGGGAACTAAAATTCGCACCCCAGTTGTTCATCGCCGCTCTCGGCGCTGTTTTGATTTTATGAGTTTCCTTCGGTTATCTTGCGATAACACAATCAAAATAATAAACACAACAAAATGCCTAGGTCGCAGGAGGCAGGAGGGGCGGAATGGAAAGCAGATGGAGTCGCACTAATCTCAGCCATTCGATATGCGTTTTCTTCTTTTTCTTGGGAGTGATTCCCCGCAGAGACGCCAGAGATTAAGTGGTGGAATATTTGTTTCCTAATCAAATGTTTAGCCAAATGAAGAACTTTTGAATTTGAACCACTTAAACGAAGTCTTTCAATAGGCTAATTTCAATAAGCAATCACAAGGGTTTAATTACGATTTATAATTTATATTTCTATTACAAACATTTACAAAAAAATATATATATACATAAACAACTTAAATTTTGCTATTGTTTTCAAATACATTGGCGCAGGATGTCGAGTTCTTCGGGCAGGGCGTAGATGCCTAGCTCCTTTTCGGTCATGACGTCCTGCAGGTGCGTGAATTCCTGCGGCACATAAGTTGCCCCCTCGAGCAGCAGAGCCTTGTCCCAGGGACACTCGTCCATCGCGGCCAGCAAACAGTCTTTGCTGCGCTCGAAACTTGTCCGCGTGTCGGACAAGCGTCGCAGGTAGAGGCGCCAGAAGAGCGAGTTGCGTCGCAGGAAGCGGTACTGCTCCTTCTCCATCTCCGAACGATTCGGATTTGTGGGCAGGAAGGTCTCGAACATGCTAAGGAAGCGATTGCGCATGGCCTGTTCTGCGGCGGCGTTTTCATCGCCGGCGCCAAGAAGCCCATTTTCCCACAAACTATGCCTGAAGCGACATTGGGCAGTGATGACCAGGTGCAACAGGGAAACGATTCCCGCTTGGGTGCGAATAAAATGGCCTCGCTGCTGCGGCCACAGCATAGTCCTGAAATTGGACAAGCACTGCAGCATGACCATGTTGCGCGGAAATTCCTTGAGACCGCATTCCACCAACGCCGCCAGTTGCGCGTTGAGAGCCGCCTGCACAGGAGCCCGCCCCTCCTGCTCCGCTGTGCCAACTAGTAGCGGCATCTGATATTGCAGAATCAGCACCTCCATCACCTGCTCCCGCAGGAAGCGTCGCCGCTCGCTGGACTCGGCACACTCCATGGTGAGTGGATGCGCCAGCAGATCCTCGCAGGTGCCATCCAAATAGTTCTGGTGCATCACGCAGAGCAAACAGCGCGCACGCAGCAGAATGAGTAGCTTGTTGGGTTGGAAGTACTCCTCCAGAGTCATAGTAGCTGGCAGTGTGTCGAGGAGGGCGCACTCCTCCTGCAGCAGCTTGTTGGCGCTTCGCAGACACTCCTCAACTCCAATGGCATCCACACTGATTTTATCCGTATGCTGGCGAACGCACAAACAGAATAGCAAGTGGATTGCCTCGGTCCGACGATTGAATCGTATGAGCATCTCGGCGCAAACCAAGTAGGCGTGCATCAAGTCGGGACAACTGAAGGATTGCCCCTTTTGCGCTTCCGCCAGGAAGATCGTGCTGAATATGGAGAATACCCGCTCACCGTCTGCTTCGCTTTCGAGGGCTTCGAATTCGAACATAGCTACCTCCGTGTAGAATCGCGTAACATCCCTGTTCTCCGGCAAACGCATCTGGCTGCGAAAACTGTCTTTCAATTGCTTTATATACACCTTAGTTAACTTTCCCATCAGCCTGTGCAACACGACGCGGAATCGGTGGAATCGCAGCCACAAGACCATGAATATCCTCCTCCTGCTTTCCTCCATCCTGACCGCTGAGCTGCACGTGAGCAGCAGTTCACTGATGGTCATCTCGTACAGATCGTGGCCCAGGAAGTGCGGCATGAAGCTGGGCGACACGCTCATCTCCTTGGCCAGATCCACCAGTGCCGCATCGAAGGCCGCCGAATAGGATGTTGGCAAGGCATAGGAGTGCCTATCCGCAAGTTCAGCAAAGAGCGTTTCAATGGCCTCCGACTCGCCGAACTCATCGGTGCGTGGATGCATTTTGGCCGCCAGACAAGCGCTGCGAACGAGGGGCAGTTTCGTTAGCTGGACAACAATAAGCAGCAGGTGCAATCGGTTGTCCTGTGATTTAAGTGCATGCGCATAGGGCATAACATCCTCGTTAAAGACGCAGCGCTGTGGATCCAGTCCCTCTGCCACTGCATCCTCCGCCGAGGGCATCAATTGCGGATAAGGTAGGTAGCAGTACGCTTGACGGAGTTGTTCGATTCGCGTCCAGATCTTTGACATCGGCATGTCGGAGCGCAGCACCTCCTCCTCGTACTCAATCAACAACCCTTCGCTGGCGGCCTTCGCCTCGAAGCAACTGAATGTTGTGTCTGGGAAATTGAGCTCCAAACACAACCGCATCATCGCAAACATCATGTTCATTTTGCCAGTTTGCCGGAGGAACAAGGCGCAGTTGTGGAAAAGACTGAGCATTATTTGATCCGTGTGTGTGGCAAATATGCGTATATGCTCGTCGGTATAACCCACTTGCATTCGTCGCATGCTGTACGCGTAGGTCTGAAGAACCGCCGGAACGCTGCAGCGCGCCATGTTGCCCTGGGTGGCCATGATCAGAGCGGTCCAAAGTGCGTACTCGTATGGGTTGTCCTCCAACATTTTCTCAAAGCGGGCAGCGACCTAAAATTTAGCAAAAAGTGTTTATTGTTATTTCGAAATTTATCAAATATTGCTGAATGTGTTCTAGTATTGATTGTTTTAAAAGTGTACAAAACTGAACAGTCTGCAATTTAACACTAATTCAGTAGAGAACTAGATCGTTTCTTTTTTAGTTTGAAAATGTTCGGAAATCTTTTGATATGTAAGTGGCATAAAATCAGTTTAATATCTGCTAAACTAAACCGAATATCTGGAATATCTAGCTCGTGGATTACCTCACTGGCCGGATAAGTGGCATTGGCCACATCCGTGTAGAGCCGCAGAATCTTTTCATTGGAGGGATGGTGCTCCAGTGCCAATTCCAAGGAGTGTAGTTGGTGCTCCGCCACCGCCAGTCGATTGGCCTTGTCCAGGTTGAGATCCAGAAGGCGATGGAGCTGCAGCCAGTGATCCACCACCTTGGGCTCCCGCTGGACGAGCACCTTGGTCTGGATGAGCTGCTCCTGGAGCTTGGCAATTTCCTCCTTCGAGGAATTGGGATCAGGTGGCTGTTTCCAGCTGTAACGAACTTTCTTCGAGGACAACAAAGAGCGACTGGACTCTCGAGGCTTATAATCCGTATCCCGCAGACGTCTCATCCGGATTTTGTACCGTGGTCGAGCGGGTTTTGTTAGGGTTTTCAGGGTTAAATAGACCTTATTGCTCTTTTTGTCCACATAAAACCCATCGTTGGCATCAAATTCTAGTGTTTTTGCAATAACGATGTTCGTTGTTTGGGGGCTTTCTTCATCCGCGGAGTCCTCGCTGCTCGAAGAGCTGTCTACTATCGGTACAGGAGTTGGTATATAGTCTGACACTATATCTTTTTGAGCGAAACTCTCGTTATTTTTCCAGTCCCCACTTGTTGTGCCCGCCACCTTTTCCGATTCCTTTGTTTCTTTCGCACCCAAAGCTGAAGAGGGTTTGTCCCCGCCATAAGCGGGAAAGAGAGACATGGTCAACAATTAATAATATTAATTAATTAAAAAACTTCTTATAATTAGGTCGAAAAACACAACTTTTGTTTTGATTTCGTTTTTGTTTTCGATTATCAGCTGTGCCGGCGATAATTCTGAAGATGAGAGCTCCTCGATATGTAATCGAAAGCAATTGCGGCTCACAACCTTTTGGCTTGCGACTCAGCTAAGTTTGTGCACTTATGTGAGCAAAATTCTTAATAAATTAGATAACTTTACATATACAAAAACAAATATTGATATTTTAACTATAATTATTTATTTAGGTGAGCCCTATAAAAACCTAAATGTTTGGTCAATGATTTCTTAATCAAAACCTACATACATACATAATAAACAGTTTAAATGGAAATTAGTCTATTCCCCAAACATTTTATCTAAGATGATATAAAATGCATAATGAACTGCAATGTACTGGAAAGGCGCCAGATTTGAATCATTAATTTCCAGAGCTTCTGAATGTCTCCACTTATGGAGACCACCTAGCGAAGTCACCAACCAACGGAGGTATACAAATTAAGATTTGAATTTTTTGGCATGATTAACACTTTCAAGAGCATTCCGACCCCCACCCAAAAAAAAAACACTCGAAAATACGAAGCTATACCCACATATATTTAAGCGAACAGCACCAGAAACGAAGTTATACGAAATGCAGTCACACAAACACACACACACATATAACCATGTAGAATGCGTGTTGTTTACGTGTAAAAAATGTTGTAAGTTTCGCCTGCTTTTGTGGGTTGACCCATTAAATGCGAATCATTTTCGCTATATACTCACCGATCGGTCTGAAACTCATTAGAGAGTGCGATATAATGCACATGAATATTTTCGGGGAACGACTGTCTCCGCTTTTGGGTTAAGACTTTCCGCTTCCTGGTGATTTCGACATGATGATGATGCCACCAAAAAGTGCCAGTGGCACTGCCTAATGGCCATTTCAATGACGGCCATAATCGCGGGTAATGCGCAAAGCTGCCATCGCCCAGTGGCTTCTGCCATCGAAACCATCGACAAATGTCAGTCCTTTGTGAACAGCTGAATAACCGCTAAGCTACACGCCCTTTTTGCTCTCGAAAATGATTTCGGATATTCGAACAATAGACTGTTTGGCGTTCATTTCTGCGTTCATTTCGATGTTTTTGCCAGCGTCACATGAGCTATGCTAAATATTTGCCAAACTATTGTTCCCATCTGAACAGTTCGGGTTAATCAAAACAGAATCGAAATTTGTTTACTGCCCTTCTTAAAATTCAATAATTTATTACTTAAATTTGAAGTCTCGTGTTCTTATTCAATTATTATTGAATAAAATTTCAAATTGCAGTAGCCTGTCCAAAATTAAGATACAAGTATGATTACATAATTAAGTTGGGTTCACAATACACTAAAATCTTGAAAAAGAAAAATGATAATAATTTTTATTTGTTTTAAGATAAAAGTAAAAATGAAAACATTCAATAGAAAAACTCATATCTTTGGATCCCAAATCTCTTAATTTGTTCGCGAATGGGAACAACAACATATGTTTTCAGATCCTTCATATTTGTAAATAATTCGCTTTGAGCACTTGGGCCACACCTGATATTATATCGGGGAATAATGCTTAATGTCAAACGATTTGCGGCTTAAGCTTTATGCATATATCGATAACGAATTCAGGGTGGATGGCAGTGATTTCAGCTAGACGCTTCCCCCTTTTCATATTTTCCCCATTCCAACCTCTTTTTTTTCTCATACATTTTACTTATATTTCTTCCTTTTCTTATATATTTTTTTTTTTTGAACATCTCAAAGACGCTGTAAAATGCGCTCGTTTACACCTCAAGTGGCAATCATTTGCCATCGCCCCCAGTGACGTTATCGTGGGGTTTCCTTGGCCACCCACCCCGCACCAACCAACCACCCAACCACCTTACCCCGCACCACCCACTTGCTCCACCCAGTCGCTAATCACCAGCTGTGGGAAAGTCTCGAGAATTCAGAGAGAGAGAGAGAGAGAGAGAGAGAGCAATAGAGGGGGAAAGGTGGAGAAAGCGAAGCGTTGACTGCTGCTGTTGTTGATGATGATGAAGTGCCAGCAATGTGACAGTTACAGGATGAGACAGAGACAGACAGACACAGCGGAGAAAGAGATGGAGAAAGGGAGAGGGAGTGGGAGAGGGAGGGGGAGTGTGGCACAACAATAGCCTCACACCCATACACACACATTCGTAATAATGGGTAAACAACAACACGAACAGCAGCCCATGACAATGACAAGGCAAATAGCGAGGAAAACTTCGCAAATGTCAGCTGGCGGTTGTCTCTCATAATTCCCCATCACCCCGCCACTTCCCCCGCACTCCGCCATCCACTCTCCACCCCGCACTCCCCCAAACTCTCCACTCTCCACTCGCCATCAAGCTCCTTTAGCTTTTGCAACCCCTCGGAAAATTGAACAGTAATTACTTTAGGCTTTTCCCCAAGCGTTGGCGGTAAGTAAAAAAGGCGAAAAAACGAACGAAGCAAAATTAAAAAGCAGACATTAAAATGAAAACAAATCTGAGTCTAGCTTTAAAGTGCCAGACGGCTACAAAAGTTGCCAGCAGCAACTGCTCAGCTCAACTGATGGAGACGAGGGATGTGGGCAGATCTGTCTAGCATTGGTGCACTGAAAAAAAGAAGTCTAAGGAGTGGAAAAATGTGTATGAAAAAGCAGTAGAAATTGTATTCAAATGTAGGAATGAAAGCCAATGGTTTCTTCTTAAATACATAAAAATACAATATAAAATCTGTGGTTTTTTTCTATAAGCCTAAACTGAACATTATTATATAATATGAACTGAACTTTATTTATTGAATGAATTGTTGAATAGTTTATTTAATGCATGAATGAAACTCTTTCTTGGTTCACAAAATAGTCACTGAATATTTTATTTCATTATTTTTATCTTTGTATATTTCTTCGTATTAATGATTGAAATTCTTGTTTTTTTTTTTTCTTCGTGTATGGATGTGTATATATCGCTTTATATTTACAGCTACTAAACTGTAATCGGGGCCACACACCGGAAGTTGAAATGACTTGAAAATTTATTGCATTTGCTGCACAACGTTGAGAACAACAGTGTTGTTGTTGCTGTTGTTGTTATTAGTGTTGCTGCTGCTGATGTTGCTGGTGTCGGTGTTGCTGCTGCTGTTGTTGCTGCTGATGTTGCTGCTGTGCATTCAGCAGGCGAACGCTTCGCTGACTTTGGTGTTCCCATCGCCATCGCTATTGCCATTCGCCATTCGCCATTGCCATCGCATCGCCATCGTCAACGAAACGGAAGTGGCGCGGCAGTCAATTGGGAAGACAGGCCAGGACATCGCCGGAGGCATCAGGAGGTGGAGGGTTGGTGGGAGTGGGGGAAGAAGGGGGTTAGGGGATCCCCCGTTCAAGGGGAGGCAACTCCAGAGCCGGCGATTGCAAAATTGAATAAGCCCACAGAACCCGATCCCCCGAGCGAAGGCAAAACGGACCGGAGCAACCGGAACAGGAACCAAACACATCACTCAGCCAAAAAAAAGCTGGCTAACCAAATACCCATAACCCATAAATCCCAAAAAGAAATATATAATATTAAGACTAGCACTTTTGTTTGATGAGATCTTGAGTAATCCTATTAATAATCCATTTTAGAAACAATTAAAAAATACAGTAACATATACTATTAGTGTTGAAATATATACAAAAATTGTACAAAATTTATTGTAATGATTATTTACAAACGAAAGTTGTAATCTTCCAAAAATCGTGAATTCGAATCTTTAAAATATTTAATTAAAGGGTAAACAAAAATACCTTTTTAAAATGTGCAGAATTTTAATTTTTTTTTTTTTTTTAATTTTTTAATTTTAATCCGAATTATGAGTGGTATATCTTGTTGAATTTGTTGTGAAAAATATTTAACTAGCTGCATCATTAGTTTATTTTTCATCTGCAAATGAATAGCTGATTTTTCTCGCAGTGCCAATGGAATAGCCAAACTCATCCTTTTTCCGTTCGACACGAATTTACGGCGATTTTTCCGTCTCTGGCAGGACATTTTTCGCCAGGCGTCCTCGGAATTGGCTGCTCTCGGCCGAAAATGTCTCAAGTCGTGGCTGTCGGAGAATCTGGGACTGAGTGAATGCATCCATCCTGTGCGCAGTTTACTGCTCATAAAAATCCATTAAATTATTCAAATTGCATAGGAAAAGCCCGACTTTTGTCCGCTCTTTTTTTTTTCTCATGTTTTTTTTTTTTTTTTTTTGGCGATGACGTCGACACACAAGCGGAGATTTTCCCAGTTGGGATTTTCCGCCGTTCAGGTTGCCTTGGCCAGGTTTTTGTGTTTGATTTCAAGCCATTTCTCTCGGCTTTCGGTTTAGTTCGGTTTGGTTTTGTTTTAAGGTATTTTTCCGCGTTGGCTGCTTAAAATAAAAGACAGCCGGCGGTTGCAGCTCAGCGAGGATGGAAATCGAGGTTCTGGGATGCAGGATGAGGCCCTTCTGGCTGAGGACAGGCATGGAGCCCAGTGAGGCATGCAACAAAAACAACAACAACAACAACAGCAACAACAGCAACGCCGGCAGCCACAAGAAGTGGGTGGTTGCCGCTGGGCGAAAAAGGGGGAGGGGGGATTTAAGGGGAGGGGAAGAGTGGAAAGGGGGGCACACATGCATCCACTTGACTGCCAGCTTAGGAAACAGCACATCAGTTCCAGGACCAGATCCAACACTGCACTGAAAACAAATAAAAAGAAACAATCAATCAAATAACCAAATCAAAAATAATAATATTTTTTATGGGACAAATGCTATAGTGAATCATATAAAGCACACAAAATATTTATTATATTTATATAAATCATTTTTACTTATGTAATAATTACAACAACTTACAAATGGTTAAAACAAATGAATCTTGCTAAAACAATAAATCTAAACATGTTTGTAAGTCATTATTTTAACGGAAGAAAGGTTGTATTAAATAATGGTTGGTAGGTATGTACATTAATTATATTTTTATTTCTTAGATTTATTTTACAATGT